CGTTTTGTTTACAAGTCCAAAAAAATATTTAATTAATTTTCTTTATAACAGTAAGACCATTTTAAAAGGAAAAAACATGCGATTGTACATGGTTTTTTTATATTATTATTCAGCGTGCCGTTTCCCCTTAGTTATAATTATTTTGAAAGTTTTAAATTTATTTGGGTTTTCAGCCAATTTACACGATTATTTTGATTGTCTTAAATATTACCCTGTCTAGATTTTAAGGTTCTAATATGAACAAAATCAGACTTTGGCCCATTGTCTTTTTGGATTATTAGTTCTATTAACACAAGACCGTTTGAAATTTTTCCTCAATTTGACACATTTATTTGCAGATATCAACTTATTTTTTTATTTTAATCTAATTTTTTCCCTGGTGGCTTGAAAGTTTAGAGTTTTACACATTTATTAGTCTATTTTAGCAAAATGCCTCCTGTTTTCTAACGTGAAGCAATGAGATAAATTTCAATATTAAATCTCCATTTTCCATATTTGTAAACATCGTTAGGTTTATAATCTTAATTGTGTTTAGAAGTGGGGAATTCTTATACATAAAAACCAAACTGACTGGATTCGGTAGGAACCAGTTTTCCAAATATTTTCTACCTCCACCGTCTTATTTTGGAAGTAGAGCACGTTGTAGACAAAAATACAGAAGGAGGAAAAGAGGAACAATATTTCTTTTTAACGGCCAATTTTGGTCAGCAGGAAAGGTTCCACACATCTAGAGAATTTCAACTAGACAAACTTAAAAATAAAGTTAAGGATAGACAAATGTCCTTTGACATTTCATCCACATTGACTTTCGGATCAGACGAAAATCGCATAATTTTAACATATTCGTATCGAAATATAAAATTTCTTTTGTACTTAGTGTAATGGATAAATTTTTTATTGACTTGTTATCCTTTCACTGATTTTTTAACTAAATCTACGGATATTCGTCCTATTCACTATTGACTCTTTACCATCTGAAAGTATCAAAATGTCAAGTTATTGACTGTACGGATTGACTTGCTTAACCCCCTCTTATTTCCTATCTAAAATTATCAAGTTTTCTGCTCATTTACTAGGTTGAAATACCCCATAAATATCAAGATTTCAATTTATATTTATTGGATTTATTTTAAAACCTAATCGGAAAGAATCATAAGCCTTGGCTGGAGGAATATTCGTATTATTGTCTTTTCTAATGAAATAATAATTTTATCTCCAGTTATCAAGATATCGACTAGATGGGTATTACGTTCTATTGCACGCATTATCTAATTTGTATTGACGCACTTTTTAACCCCATCTATCATTTCATTCTTGAGACTGATAAAATATATTTTTTTGCTTGACCTACCTGTTCTCGAAGTTACTAATGGATATAACGTTGCAGACTTACTCTGACAGCCAAAATCTATTTATTGACTACATTTATATATGTTTTAGTGACCTATCCATTATAGAATTTGTTAACTGAAAGAATCCAAACTTAGACTGAATGTATTCTTTCTATTGACTAAAGTCATTGCTAGGATTTATCCGAAAGTAATCAACATTTCTAGAGCTTCGTAATTATATTGTACGTTCTATTGACCTTTTCCCTTTTTAATTATTAAAATAATGAAACTTCTACTTATTGACGTAATTTTCTATTGACCTATTGTTAGCCTCCCTGGGATTTAACCTTATTGTTAGTTCACCACTTTCGTGGTCCGCTTGACCAATTAACACATGACAATTAATTAAGGTTTTTAGTTGAGATGAAAAAAGTTAATGGCACGAGAGGGATTCGAACCCACGACCTTCGGCTAGATACGCCGCTGCTCTACCACCTGAGTTATCGATAGCTCAGGTGGTAGAGCAGCGGCGTATCTAGCCAAAGGTCGTGGGTTCGAATCCTTCTTGTGCCATTAACTTTTTTTCATCTCAACTAAAAACCTTAATTAATTGTCACTTATTGTTAGTATTAGTTGGTGCTGTTTTGTTGTTGGTGTTGAAATTTCAATTATCTCACGTTTCACTACATATTGGAGTTTCTTTGGACTGAAATTATTGGCTGCAAAAAACCCAAAAATAGTGGTGAAACTTGAGATAATTAATCGTATACAAACTTAAGTTTCTTGAAAACTCAGGCTTTAATGACTTGATGGATAAACGATGACTTCCTGGTATCCTTCTTACTAGTTACCCTAATTCATCAAGACTTCGANCATCTTTTAAACTATTTAAAAATTAATGATTACTTGCTTGCATATATATTACGCAGGGCGGGCGACCAAGTCCCGAGGGGTTAAATGCCTGGGTAGACTCGTACCCCATCCCTAAATTTTCAGGTCCGGGACTTGATCGGTTTACGTGTCCTGCATAAACCTCTTGGACTTGTCCACAAACCCCAAGATTTTGGACTATTTTATCTCGGGGAGTGATTTGGTAATGTCCTCTCCTTCAAAAGTTTCGAATCTATACCTGGCGTACCTATCACACTCTGCGAGGTAGTGCCGTGACGTTTCTTCTTTTATTTCACAAAAACGGCAGAAGGGGTCTGGTAAAATACCCATTACGAAGAGGTGTCTTCTCAAAGGGCAATGGCCCGTCAGGATACCTATCAGCCTCCTAATTCCCTTCCTTGAGTTAGAGAATAGCCATTTCGATTCTTTTGGTTTGATCAACGACAAACGCAGTATTTGAGCCTTCTTTGGCCAGGCTATCCGCCTCTTCATTGCCATAGTGTCCTTTATGTGCTGGTATCCAAATGAGGGTTACCTATTCTCATACCTAGAAGTGATCCTATTGATAAGTTCAACAGTTTCCTCCACCAGCCTAGATGTTGATAACTCTTTTTGTAATGACCAAAGACTGGCCTGACTGTCGGAAAAAAATTCTAATATCTTTTCCCTTGATTTTATTATCCATAAGTGTTCTGCAGCAAACATTAATGGCCCATATTTCCGCCTGAAAAACGGAGGTGTTATTGCCAAGAGGGGAGGAGATGCTGATCCTTCCATCTTTTAAACTATTTAAAAATTAATGATTAGGGATGGTTCGACTTTTTGATTTGATGGATGTACGTTTTATTAACATTGTTATCCTCCATAAGATTTTTCTAATTGTTTCAATTAATTATTCTTTTTATGTAAGGTGTTGTTTGAAATGAAATAGTCAGTGTCACGTGCGGGATTCGAACCCACGACCTTCGGTTCAATAGGCCGCTACTCTACCCTACCAACTTGAGATATCGTGACTTCTAATAAAAAGAGTAATTAATTGAAATAAATAATTTGGTCAGTTAGACCACTAAATATAAATGAATTAATATGGTATTATCTGGATGGTAATATGTTTTATTGACCTCAATGTTTACCTTATTAGTTACCTTAATTCATCAAGGCTTTAAATTTATTGACTTGATGGATATAAGAAGAAGAAAAATAACTTTATTCTGGGACTAGTGTCCCCTAAGAATAATTTACATGAAATAAATAAAGGATATACTTTCTATTTGACCACATTTTGCTGTTTAGTCTTTATCTTTCACCACTTCGACTTATGGACTTGTGCTTTGCGAGTCTTTTAAGATTTAATGAAATTCATCAAGATTTCGATTTATTGGATTTATAGATATATTTGCCAGTCTTCATTCTATTGCCCTCATTGTTGTTATCCTCTCTTGGATTTATTTATCGTATGAAACTTAAACTATCAAGGTTTAATGGTTGCACTGACATCATTAGTTATCCTCCAGTTAGCTTAATCTTTCAAGATTTCGACTTCTTTTCTAAACTATAAGGGTTTATTGATAATGTTATATTGACATCATTAGTTATCCTCTAGTTAGCTTAATCTTTCAAGACTTCGACTTAATGACTTCTTTTCTAAGCTATAAGGGGTTTATTGATATTATATTGNTGTCTTTCTCTCTAGGATTTATACGACTTTGTTGTGTGAAACTAACAGAGCTAATTTTTGATTGGCTTGATGAAAATAGGCCCATTGATCTGTTTATTGTCAGTTGTAATTCTATTGATTTGTATTTATAAGAAAAATGTCCCTTCAGTGGCGGCCTCGACTGTCTGAAACTATTACGGTTGATTGATTGATTTGATTGGTTTTTTTCAACTGCTAAGGAAGAAGAATATTTTAGCTTGTTCTAGGTTCTATGTATTGATTTATGTATTAACGTTTTTCCACTTTTTCTGGTATACCACTCCAGGTTTTCTGCGTATTTACTAGCGGATATACTTCGCCCTATTGTTAAAACTGCGTCGTTGTATCAATATATTTTTTTTTAAGCCTTCGGCTTATTCATTTATCCGGTAGTGTTTCATCATAGAAAATTACCATAAAATGCCCCCCGCCCCCGCCGGGTATGAAATTTATGTTTGCAGTCATCAGTCTCCCGCGCTTTAATTTTAATTGACATTCCGCCCTCGGTTCTCTCGAACTCGATGGACGGCAAATTGAAAAATTGACATCAATTATTATTGCGTCGTAACTGTTAGAAACGGGACGCCAGGTCAAAAGTGGCACGGGCCTCCCTCCTCTTGTTTACGCCTCGTGGTAGGCCAGGTAAAGAGGGCCCGTTTATACCAAGGACAGCATGTTTTTGCTCCAAGCCATTCCTGATCCTTCCTTGGCAAAAACATGGCCTATTGCCCATAAAAATGACGAGAGAAAAAATGTTTAAAAAAAATAATATGGGTATTGTGGATCCTGTCCTATGGCATAGGACAATCAAGAAAATTAATGGCATGAGTTTTCATCCCTTTTCTTTTCAAAATTGACAAAAAGAAAATAAATTTGATATGTAGAAAACATATAACTACGATAAACACAAGGTTAAAAATTAAATATCTTGACTAAAACCCTTCCTCGATTATTTCCATTCCTTTAAAATATCATTTTATTGTAGATTTTGTTTAGTTAAGCCTACTTTCTACAAGAAACAATTTTAGGATTTTTTTGTATTTATTACGTATATTCCACACTCCCATGGATTTTTGTTTCAGATTGGCCAGAAGGTCTGTATGAAGGGTATGACAACATGGATGTCTGGGACTGCTACAAAAATTTTACACCCATGGCAGTGCCAAATGTGCAACAGGAGCTACCAATGGTCATTCCAAGCCAGACTGACCTGCTGCGGGAATTTGAAGATGTTTTGACTCAGACAACTGAATCTCTCACGCCTCCAGACAGCCCGCAGTCGCAGGAACAAATATTCATCAATATTCTTGAGGTAGTTATTTTATTTATTTTGTTAATCTTGTAATTGATTTGTTTTTTCCTCTCGTAGGAAATGAACCCTGGTGAGGTAACAACAACCCAGCTTGTGGATAACACTGAAAAGCCGAATGTCGCCGCCTGCTCGCCGTTGTGTGTCGAACCTTGGTCAAGCCCGTCGCCGAGCCAAAGCGATAGTGGTTACGATGACCCAGATTGGTCACCGGGCGACTGGTCTCCCGGGCAGACAGTACCTGAACCGAAAAGGTCCCACCGCAAGACTACAACGACCGAGGAGCGCAAGCTTCGTAAAAAGGAGCAGAACAAGAATGCCGCCACTCGCTACCGTCAGAAAAAGAAGCAAGAGATGGAAGGAATAATGGGCGAGGAGAAAGGCCTACAAGATGAAAACGATCGTCTTAAAACCGACGTCACAGAAATCACCAGGGAAATCCGATACCTCAAGTCCCTCATGAGAGATCTCTTCAAGGCCAAGGGCCTCCTCAAATAAATTTCCAACGTCCTCGACTCCCAAAAACTCCACATTTCCATTTCTTTCACCTTCCGTTCAATTGATACAGTATGACGCTTTCATTAGCCGATGTTTTTCTTATTGTTCTGGTAGGTGAAAGGACTGCAGCATGTCCTGGTCGACCCGAATTGAATTCATTAACAAACAAAAATACTTTCATTTAAATTCACCAAACAAAAATATGTTTTAATAAGCACTTGGGCAACGACCGGGGATGATTTTATCTAATTTTTTTCAATTTATTAAAAAAAAAGTAATCTATGTTGTGTCTATTTTTAATTTTTTTAAAGTTTTTAATTATCTATAATAAATTTGTAAAGGTTCTGGTTGTTATTTTAGATTTATCCTTAGTCCTCTTAAATATTACACATTTATATTGTTGTTTTTTATCGTTTTATTATCTTCAATAATAAAACACATCATGTAATCTAATGGTTTTTATTTTGTCTACCTATATATTAAAACAATTAAAACTTATTAGATAAGCTTTCTCTTTTGATTTTTAGCTGCATAGTTAATCATTCATCTTCATAAATAAGCTAATTATTTTATGAAAGTAGCTTTCTAAAATTAAAATATTTTAAGAGACCGCTAAGCACATAGTTGTTATTACTTATTTCTAATTTTTACACACCAGACTGTAAATAGAGAAAAGAATTTTATTTATAATTCTCTGTATCTTTGAGTACTGGTTATGTAAACAAGTCCTTTGGTTAATCAGTACAATAGACTCTCGTCCACGTTTTCACTAATCCGTGGTAACCACCCCTAGTTGAGTTGTAGAGGAGAGTGGGAACGCAATGTATCACAGAAAAACAACTGACCGTAGTTGAATTCTTACTGGAAAATGAAAAAAAAAACTCGAAATATGTCTACCTTAAGTTCATAACTTTGATGATTGGCATATGCGATTCAGAAAAGTGTTTGGTATGCAGAGGAAAATGCTTCAAAGCCTGAAATTTGAGTTGTTTCAGTTTTTGTTTGAGTTGTTTGCTTGACAGCGGTCCGGGAGGGGAGTACGAAAAATGTTTTTTTTAAGCACTTGGCCAAAGACCAGGGATGATTTTATCTTTTTTTTTTTTTTCCAATTTATTTATAAAATGCATAATTTCTTCGGGGTTGAACAACTAACGAGAAGGAAGAAAAACAAGAAAATACTCCTTTCCTTGTTTCTTATATTTTCTGGTGGATGTCCCTGGGCCAAGGATAACTGGGCTGTCGCCACAATCCAAGTGGCAAGTTTGGTTTATATTATATGTTGCATAACTGCTAAAACGGACTGTAACAAACTTTTAAAAAAATCTTTGAACAAGAAAATTTGCTTAATGATGAATCTTTTAATACAGATCAAACGCTTATAAAGTCAAGACAGTTTAACACTCAGACCAACTGTGGTTTTACACAACTACAGAACCGTTTACTTTTGTCTGTTAGATTTGCCAATTAATAAGGGAGGGTTCAATTTTCACCGCACTCATTTCTTTTTAACAACTTACTTTCGACAAATATCGTACTATATTTATTTTCTTAAGCATTTTAACAGCCTGGGTGCAGTGTATAATAAGAAATAAATCACAAGGTAAATATATTTCTTGGAAAAAGGCCAATGTTTATTTATTTAACACCTCACTTTGGAATGAATTAGATTCCAAGAGGGAAGGGAAAAAAGGATAGGCCGACCTCCAAAAGCCCAAGGATAAATCTAATAAACACCAATATAAAGGTGTTTATAATTCTGCAAACCCAATCAATAAGAACAAATACACAGGCCTAATGCACAAGAAAAAAATATATTCACAAGGAAGATTATTATATAAAAGTGGCCTTAAGCCCCACAAAAAAAAAAATTAACAATAAAAGGTTAGTTAGAAAAACATTGAGGATTTACACGCCAAAAGAACTTCTTAAGAGATGGTAAAGATGGCCCGATTAATTAACATTAATAAAAAGAATTAAATATAAAATAAACACGTATATACAGTGGAAACCCGTTTATCCGGACCTGTTTGTTAAAATATTTTGTATAAATTATTTGAGATCGTAAGATGCAATGTGGTATAGTCTCACGATCTCCAAATAATCATTAATTAACTGTCACTAAACACCGCATATTTTTTTTATAAAATTTTCATAATTCTAAATGTATGTAATTAATTTTTTAAAATTCATAATTCAACTATGGGGCCTTTAATTCGTCGTTAGAAATTTGTAAAGGCCACCAAATCGCCCTTCCACTAGTCACACGGTCAAAGAGGCACGTTTTGTTAAAAAAAATTAATTAATTATTAAAAAATAAATAAATAAAACGTGTATACTATTTTAAAAGACAAGAAATTGTTGTCTCGTGTTGTTCGTATGTTAGCTTCCATCGAAAAAAAAATGTATTGGGTATTTTTTACATATTAATTTTTCTAGAAACGTGTGTCCGCACTTAAACAAAACTAAAAAACTTTATACAAATAAAAGTTCACTTTCACGATACTGATAAATCAAATTTTCTGATTATCTGTACTTTCAATCATCCAGCCAAGTCCTGGTACCTTCAAGTCTGGATAAATGGATTTCTACTGTATGTGTTAAGTTTTTAAAAATTTTATTTTAAGAGGCGCTGAGACTTTGCCTACTAATGTTCAGTCAATGGAAACTAGATCAGGAATATGTTTTTAAATTAAAGACAATTAACAATCTCCCTCGGGTGGAAAAGTGCTGACTACAATACTCAGAACACCTGCGGCTCAGCATTGTTCAGTGTAAAGTGGGCATTTCAAAATTCACATGTCAATGGGTGAAAGAAAATCTAAAGAAGATAATTTTATCTAACCTGGGCGACACTACAAAGGTGAGAACAACCAGAAGCCGCCCTCATGGTGGCTTTGTGTCACCATTACTGTGGTCAGTATTATCTGATTATCCTAAAAAGGCTAGCTGAAGGCTTTAATTGCGTAGAATATGCAGATTTTCTGACGGTAGTCGTGAATGTGTGCTTTGCCAAAGTTCTTACAGAGGGGGCGCAATCATGGTTCCCTCCTAGAAGGGCATTGTTTACATATAACAATTACATTTTGGATGTGGAAAAGTGAATTTATACAATGCAAAATATATAAATACTTTGATTGAATATATAAAAAAATATTTTTTGCATTGTATAAATTCACTTTTCCACACCCAAAATGTAATTGTTATATGTAAACAATGTTTGTAAATCCCAGGCCCTGAAGATGATCTCAATAAAGATCGAAATGTTGGCACGATAAAGAAAATGTTTTTCTGAAACCTACATCACACCAGACCGCATATCATGATTTCTAAATAAATATTGATTAATGGTCACTCAATAATTAATTTTGTATTTTAAATAAATAATTAGCCCTGACTCCAGGAAAAAAGCATATTAGTTTCGGTCAAAAATAATCTTAGTAAAACTTACTACATAGGTAATTATGCTCGTTTGTTAGGTTTGTATGTTGTCTGTTATTATTACAAAGAAATCAATACAGCAAACAAACTACTTAAATTACTAAGAGCCAATATATGCAAGAAAAGTGTCCCAATCCAAGAAGGGGTAGTTTTTTAGGGGTAGTACAGCTGGATTTTTAAAGCTTTGTGTTTTTGCTTAAGTCTTGGAGAAATGAAAAATAACATTGATGAAACATGACAGTTTTTATTGCCAACAACCATAATTGCATGTACTTAAGACATAAGTAAAAAAAAAAAATTTCCATCTGTCTCTCCTGTAAAAATTTTCTTTTTTTTAATTGTGTCACTTTTCCTGTGGGTGTGCAATATATATATTATATTAATGAATTTAATTTTTTCAATTTTTAATTGAAACAAGGCCAATCATGGAACCCCAGGGCTTCCCAAACTAGGGGTCCACGGTGAACTTAAAGAAAAATAATAAAGTAATAAAGTAAATAATATTTTTTTAAACTAACAATTTTTTTTCTGAAACCTACATCGCACCGCATCTCATGATTTCTAAATAAATATCGATTAACGGTCACTAATCACCACACATAAACTAACAACAATGAGTACTGAAAACGATTTTTTTAAATTTGTATTTTTATTATTTTTATTCATTTTACATTTATTTTTGCAGACAAAATAGGTAAGGTAATTGAGATGGACGGGACTAGACTGAATGGTCGATCGGTTTCCTACAAATTTCAATGTTGCTGCTTCCGGAACACCCTAGATTTTTTTCAATGTTGTGTATAAAAAGCTTTCTACTTCTACTAAAAAGTTTATCAAAAATGTAATTCAAGTTCAAACTTCTCTCGAGTGTCATTCTCATTGATAAGTTATTTACTCCAGTAAGGATAGGTTGGCTGAAGTCAGGTTCTTCTCGGGAAGTGAACAGTTTCTCCATCACCTACACAGCCAGGAAAGCGCCGAATTGGAATTTATGATGCAGAAAGACAACCTTCCGATTATGGCATTGCCAACGACAAGCCAAATGAAGAACACCACACCATGACCCATCGCTAATTCTACACGTCTCCGAAGAGGTGCAGGTCAAATAGCCAGTGGAATATCTAAAAAAACATCAGTACCACAACAGCTATGTAGATTTGGGATTTATAGAGGTTGGCGAGGATAAAGCTCAGGATTTGCCGGAAAGCCCTTTCAAACACCTTCATTAAAACAGGATAGGGATAAAAGAGGCGGTCACAAGGCCTACTGCACCTCGACTGAATAGATCTATTGTGCTCCCCTGTTATATCTCACTGGCAGCTTCGCGTTATTAATCAGCCTCCACAGCTTTGCCAGTGGCTCCTTAGTGTAGGATCTTGCTTGTGGTTTTTCTTCTCCTAGTTGCAAGAACATACACCTACATAGACCTTCACCGAAACATAGAATGTGTTCTGCGGTCTCCTCCTCTTCCTGACAGTATCTGCACAGTGTTTCTTCTGTCTGTACTCCTATCCGATGCACGTGCCTTCTTAAGTGGCAGTGCCTTGTCAGGAGTCCAACCAGAATCCTGGTTCAGTTATGGTTGCCAATAATTCTTTTGTAAGTTTTGCGGATGGTCCTTTTATGAATCTCTTCCCGTGTCTCATACCTGTGGTATTATTCCAACAGGTTATGGACTCATTAAGGATCCATTTTAAGATTTATCCTCTTTTGTAGCAGGCTGTTGTCACAGTAGGGTTCAGGACCCAGAGAGTCCATGTCGGCCCCCTTTTTGACCAACAAGTCAACCTTTTAGTTGCCTCTATGCCCCGAATGTGGTCAGGTCATTAGTGTTACTCCATCAGGGCCTCCATGCAGTTCCAAACACTCTTTGCCTTTGCCTCGCATGAAGCCCTAAGTGCTGCCTGGCTGTCAAAGAAAATGGCTATCTTCCAGGAATATACTCCTAGCTTTTTTATTTCTCTGGCGCATTGTCCAATCCTTATGATTTCAGACTGGAAAACTGTGCTACATTAACCTAGATTTACTGTCAGTTCGGTCTTTGGGTTCATCCCGAAGACTCCAGCTCCCGTACCCTTGTCAGTTTTGGAGCCATCAGTATACCAGTAGGAGTTTGCCTTTAGCGGTATTCCTTTATCCCATTCTTCCCATTCTGGTATCAGTAATTTTTAATAAAATAGTACTTTGGAGTAATGGCATAAATTGGCATACTTAGAATGACATCTGCATGTATCTCCTCCCTCAGTTTCCATTGTTTATTTACATGGTCTATCCTAACAGATGGTTGTCCGTTTATGAGCCTGTGGGCTGCTGCTCAGGCTTCTCCTTGGATTAAGATGTGAAGTGGTGGGAGGTTTAACAAAACTTCCAGGGCCGCAGTTGGCGTTGTGCTCATGGCACCAGTGACACTGAGACAAGCTTGTCTTTGGGTGCCACTTAATAGCAATATTGCTTTGGCCTGAGGAGTTTTGGTCCACCATACTACCGACCCATATGTCAACATTGGTCTTAGGACACAGGTCATTTTGTGTCATATGTCATTTTGGAGTTGAGACCCCAGTTCTTGGCGCAGAGCCTTCTGCACCTCCCCAGGTACAATTTTGGCTCTCTGGGTAGTTTTAACCAGATGTGAGTAAGGCTCATACCATCTTTCACACATCAACTAGAAAAATACTTATTATCATCAATGCCTAGGCAGATAACATCTGAGATTTTTAGAAGAGCTGTCTCACAACTATAAAATTCTCAGAAGCCAGATTGAAAAGGGTATGTATGTACATATAAGTATATGGGAGTCAATTTCATCAAATTCTTTAGATAGTTTGGAAGATTTTTTTACCTATTTATCTGTCTCGATATTCGGTGGCGGTAAACTGAAAAATCGTAATTTGCGCAAATCGACATCAAGGTGTGTTAATCGATGTTAGCCGTCATCTGACAGCAGCTGTGTCCTCCCCACCGGAGTGGGCGTGTTTTCCATTCGACTGTTGCCCTTTCCCCTCCAGGCGGCGTCGAAGCGAGCCCGTGTCCGGATTCGATTTGAAAAAAAAGCAACAACAACAACACAGCCGAGAAGCCCGGAAGAGGCTCACAGATCCGCTATGCCGTTCATATCCAAGGATTGGAGGTCCCCGGGCGAGCTGTGGGTCAAAACGGGCGAGGGATGGGAGAAGAACAAAGTGCTCGAGTGTTCCAGCTACAAATGCAACGAAGCTGACAGGTAGGACTACGGGTGCCCCCTTGTTTACCACATCAGCTGTCCACTACGTTTCAGCCATCTCGGCTCCCTTTGTCTCCTGGCACCTTCCATTCTTCTCATTTTGCATACTTTATTCACTCAAATATTGACGACATATCGTTATTTTTTATTTACTCCATCTATTGAAAAAAGGCAGTGCTGTCATCTCATTTTCATTTACCAAAAATCCTTCTAAAAGTCTTAAAAAAAAAAATCCACCATTTCAATTGATTTAATAACTATTATGTCATTCATATTGCAATAATCACTACTATGTAACATAACAATGTTGTTATGTAACTTTATATAATGGATGAATTGATAATTAACTCGTTATTTAAAAAAAAAAATCATGACTTATTATAACATATTTCCTTTCAATTTATCTGTTCCAATATAAATTGTAAACATTTTCAACCCCTCTACATACTTTTCTTCTTGTTTATTTATAATATTATGTCGTACATATTTTTATGATTAGTAGGGAATGATAATTAAAACCAAAACACACCAGATCAGTAAATTTGTTTAGGCTAGTACTTAGTGTAGGCATGCCGCCGGATTTAAAAATTATTCTTGGCCACGGTAGCAAATTTCTGGCTCCCCTGTTGTGCTTTTTAAAAAATTTTTTTTAAACTTATATTTGAAGATTTGTTTTATATGTTTTGTCTGTGTTTATTAGTGTGAGTGGTGAGGGGCTGATTGTGAAATATAGAATCACCGTCATCTCTCAGCTGTGTGTTTAGGATGGCAGAATATTTATAAAAGTACTCCATAGACTCTAATTTAGATTGTATGTAGGGTGTATGGAGGAATATCGAGTACTCCGACTGACAAGAATGAGTACAATGTGGTGTAAATGTATTTATTTGTGTGATTGTATTGTGTTAGTTTTATTTTTTTATATAGTTTTCTTCTTGTTTATTTATAATTTATTTAGAAATAGTGAGATGCAGTCTGGTGTGATGTAGGTTTCAGAAAAACATTTTCTTTATCGTGCCAACGTTTCAATCTTTATTGAGATCATCTTCAGTATGATTGTGGGCACTCTCGACACGACACGCAAGAATGGTACAATAACACAGAAGACAAACACTTTGAGCCCTGAAGATGATCTCGATAAAGATCGAAACGTTGGCACGATAAAGAAAATGTTTTTCTGAAACCTACATCACACCAGACCGCATCTCACGATTTCTAAATAAATATCGATTAACAGTCACTAATCACCATACATTTATTTATAATATTGTGTCATATGTATGGTAAGGATCTGTAGAGAATGACATCCAAAACACCAATCACTTGTTTTGGCTAGTACTATACAGGGTAAAATAGTACAGGGGTAAAATCAGAAGTCTATAGTCTCCCAACTCGGATAGAAAACTTGAGACAATTGCACAATATTAATTCTCAGTATATGAACAGAAACCACATGTCGATCGTTTATTTTGTACATTTTAAAATACATAATGAGGTCCATGGAAAATTCTGTTGTTAGAAAACGTTCATACTTTATATTCCATGTGGGATGATACATCAGAAGATTATAAAAAATGGATTCAAGAATGATTCTCAGCCATGGTAGTGAGTTTCTGGCTCTCCTATTCTGCTTTTTAGAGAACATGTATTTTTTTTATAATATATATAGTTCTATTTTATGTTTTGTTCGACGTGAGAGGCTGATGGTGAAATATAGCATGTATTTAGGATGGCGGAATATTTATGAAAGTACTCCATCGATCCTAATTTAGATTAGCTTAGATCATGTTTAGGGTCGTTGGTGGAATATCGAGTACTCCACCGAATGATCAGGATGAGTGCAATGTGCATAAATGTGAATGTATTTATTTGTGTGATTAACAAGTTTTAGACTAGATTGTTTTGCGTAAAGGGCTGAAATGACTTGGCTGTTGAAAGCCCCTAGAACTTAAACGTACTGGTTGGGAAGCTATGATCTCCTGGGCATCCGACTCAAAGGAGAAACTAGGTGAACTCCCCTGAGGTATGGGGGGTTGGCGTATCAGAGAGTGACAGCCCTTTGGAGTGAAAGTCCAACAGCTAGTACACACTCGTAGGCAAAATTGCACAACATGTGTCCATAGACAAAATTCTACGATTTTTTTTTTCCGGAAGCCTATAGTCTCCCGACTCAGATGGAAAACTTGAGACAAATTGCATAACATTAATTCTCAGTATATGAACAGAAGCCACATGTCAATTGTTTATTTTGTTCCTTTTTGAAATACATAATGAGGTCCATGGAAAATTTTGTTGTTAGAAAACGTTCATACTTTATGCTGCTTGTGGGATAGCATATCGGAAGACTATCAAAAATGTAACAAGAAGAGACTGACTATGGAAACACAGGTAAAAAAATATGAACCCTCAGCTAATGATTTACATTTTATTTTACTTTTCTGGTCAAAAATTATAATTGCTCAAGCAACAATGCAGCAGTTCTGTTGTGTAGAACCACATCTTGGTTTAAACTATTTTAGCTGAGGTGTGCAGGTCTGGACATGCAACAAAATCTCCTAGATCATCTTGGATATGTGGAGGACTGTCTATAGACAAAATCAGCAATTTATTTATAGATGGTTATGCAATTTTGTCTACGAGTGTGTACTAGCCTTTAAAGGCAACCCAAAACAAAAAACATTTGATTGGGACTGGATATGAGTAGAACAACAAACCACACAATTTTTCACTGTACAGTCAGATACCCAACGTATTTTGATCTACTGATACCATAATTATTTGGCAGCATGTCATCCGATGAACTGGTACTATTCATTGGATTGTTTGAAAGGTAACATTTCTTACTCTTCCAGTTGCCTATATACCAGATAATCAGAAAAGTTTGTGCGGTTTTTCATTTGTTATTGTTTTAATACCAGTTTAGGTGTTTGCATAACATAATAACAAGAAAATAATGCGTCAATACTTTAAGATAAATTGAGTTATAAAATTATAAAATATTTTCTTTGTCGTGGCTTCAAAACTCATAAATTGTGCATACTTTTTGTAGGAACTTTAAAAAACTGGATCGCAGTTTAACTGTTTAACAACATAATTGTTTCCATTTAAGATTTCATTAATTTTCCTATGCCGGGTGATTTAACTAACTGTTTTGCATCGAAAAGAAAAGTCCAGTCTTCTATTTTAGAAGTTGAAGTTTGCACTTTTGTAATTTTTTTTTAGGTTTACTAGGTTGAAAATATCAAAAACGGACTGAAACTCTATTTTTGCGTTTCAAATGAGGCCTCTTTTTCCACAACTTGACTATTTAAGAAAAAATAATTTTAAAATACTAAAACTATAGAAGGTGCATTTATTGACTATTAAAACTGAAAACTGAAGCGATCAACATGTGTAAATTTTAATTTTAATGGGCGTACGATATCAGGTTTTCTAGGAAAAATTCACCTTTATTGCCTCGTTAGTTAAAAGTACAAATCAAGTTTTCTTTTTAACATGATTACAAGTTTTATGGTTTGATTAAGTGAACATGCCTATTAATTTAGGTCGCGAATAGAAATGTTTGGCAATAATAATGCCATAAATGCTTATCAAATAAAAAGTAAACCCTAAAAAAAAAAAAAATCGATGCTAAACAAATATTCTGAAATCGTATCTAATCACTACTTCAGAGTTCTCAGAAGTCAGGTTGTCCCACAAGGGAGCATTCTTGGTCCCATGTTTTATATCATTTATATTGTTGACCTATTGATACATCCTAATACCATAATCACGACCTAGATGAACGATACCCCGATTTTGTTCTCTTAACTCGAATTCAAGTGACCAACATCCAAGTTTGAGCTTATCGAAGACTGGTGCAAAAAGTGACAAGACTGAATGAAGAAAAATGCATGTTCACATGAAAAAAAAAAAAAAAAAAAGTCTTGCAGTTTATTACATCAACAACAAAGAGGGACTGACTTCCATTCAAGTTAAAAACTTAAACGACACACGGCCACAATAGGATCTGTCTTCACCCATGGGTTTTTTGTTCGAGTCATTCAAACGCATTGTGCCGTCTTCGGTGAAAAACCTTGGAATATATAGGAAGGAGTGTAACTGTGGAGTTTGTATTGTCAAATTATTAGTTATTGTCCACAATGACCTCAACATTCCTATCATCGATGAACTGATCTATTCCCAATTCCAAAAATTTCACACTAACCTCCCAATCTATCCTAACCCTACTGCTCAAGCCCTCTCTACATATTCCTATCCTGAGAACCCGACACCTCGACGATGGCCTCAAGACCTTTCACCTTATTCCTTCATTCTGAATGTCATCATTGGCCGGTTACGAATTATAGGTTGGAAAAACATATTCATTTAAGATACCAATAACCCAATAATTTTTATCGATTAATATTGATCAAGATTCCAGTTAGTTCCTAAAACACATATTTAGGAGCTTTTCCTAATCATCCTAATAATTAATGCTATAAAGAAATCCCTGACCCCTGGGCTTAATAATTTTAATGATAATTATGAAAGCCTAATAAACCTGATTCTTATATTTTTGTTTTAGCATGGCACCTATTGGAAAGGAAAATATACCTCCAAATCTTTCAGGAAAAGGTATCTTTTCTGTTCAATTCAGTTGATATTTGAGGAGACAAAAGTTTATAAATAAAATTTATTAATTTTGTTTTCTCTTTTTTATTTATAGAAAGCTCCATGGTTCAGCCTTACTGCCGTATCACAAAATCATCCAAAGAGGTTTAACTCAATAATTTAGATTTGTGTATGTTCAAATTAGTTAGAGGAAAATAATCAACATTTGAAATAGATTGCCGGTTTTACTGGGCTGGGCGAAGCCTTGAAAAGACTAGACTGGAGATCTGCCGTCCGGGATCGGAGGAGGTTCAACTACATTTGCAAATTGCTCGATCTTCTCTGTTCGGAGAAGCCATTGAGCGACCTTTCCGGAGGTGTACAGAAAGTGCTATTCACGATGCTCGAAGAAGTAGCACAGCAAGGTCAATCATTGTACATTTTTTTAGGTTTCTTTGTTTCAACTAAAAATTTTCTTTTAGTGAGGGAAAGTCAGGAAAATGTTGCAGTCCTGAGAAAACTGATTTCCCAACTGCGCGGTCTGGTCGATATCGCCTGTTGGGGCAGACCTTTGGGGAGTACGCAGTTGTGGCAACATCATCTAGCCGCTATACACAGGATAACGCATATATCCAACAACCTTATGATCCAACAGCCTGACAGTTCTCCGAAGATGGAAGAACTCCCTGAGGAATGTGTGAGGGAGGTACTTCTCCGACTCGGAGACCATAAAGACCTCGAGGCTTGCATGGAAGCTTGGTCGTTAATGGGAAAACTCGGGAATGAGAGGAGGCTCTGGAAAGAGTTGACAGCTTTTCATTTTAACCAATCGCAAATTAGAAATCACATCGTACACAATCAAAACGGTGCTGTTGATTGGTCTGCTACCTTTAACACATTACGAAGGTTATTTGAATATATATTTTTTAATATATCTTTTTTATTGAAATTGTGTTTATTTTAGAACTTACGGACTGAGAGAGGATTATGCTGAGATGATTAAATTGTGCAGACACTGTAGGTGCTTGTTTTGGGGCAGCTTCGGCCACCCTTGCATAGCCGACGACCCGTCGTTCAGCAACAGGATCAACAACGAAATCGAAAATCAGCACGTGCCGATTCCCCCACACACTTTTCTAAAGTTTTTCTCACTTTAAAGCACTGGCACTTAACGGTCGGGGAAAATAAAAAGCCCTGAAGAATGCATTGTCTCATCTTCATTCGGTTTTTTAAATTTTTTTTTTCGTTTTCATTTATGCTGTTTAAAGCAGAGGAGTAATTTTTGCTTAAGTGGTTGCTTGGAAGGCAATTCACTCGTTCATTTTTAGAGACGGTACTTAAAAAAACTGATGTCTGACAAAAGCTGTGGATTCGAAAACGCGTCCAAACTATATTGATACTATATTTTAATAGTTAAAAAAAATTAAATAAGCCGCTTTTAGAAAGGGCTAAGTAAGAAGTTTACGTTTTTTAGCAACTACAAAAAAGTTTCCTTTTTTTTATTTGTAGTGTTGGCTAGATATTTTTTCAGGTGGCAAATGTAAATAACTAACTTAATATTTAGTACAGACTACTGTCGTTGAATGCACCTTACATATTCAACCTTGGCATGAGTTGATATTAATTGTGATCGACATTTGCAAAACTATTCATAAGCCTGGTGAAGAGAAAGTTTCTAATAAGATTATATTTATATTGAAAGGGTTTAAGCAATAAGTCTAATATATTATATATGTATAAAAAAAATGAAGAGACATAGTTTCTATTAGTATGTTAATTTTGTTATTTTTTTTCTTTAATAAAATCTGAAATTGTGTTTTAAAGATTTGTCTTTTCACCCTAGTACACCAAGGTGATTTATGGCACTCTAAGGCAAAAGAAATAAAAGTTACAAAAGGTGTTTTTCCAGGGAGGGAACCATGAACTAGAGCATCTCGGCAAAACGCTGATTGTATGATTCCTGAACAGCCTCAGGACCTAACTACCGCAATCCGGCCCTCTGACGCTAAAAATGCATTAAAAAACATAGTTATAAGAAAGAAGTATCAGCAGATAAACTATCGCAAATCAGGAGCCTGTCGATAGGTTCAGAGGATCGCCCTATTAAGAACCATGCGAGTTGACACACGAACACTTACTTTTGGACTAAATCCAGCGTATTGTCAATAACTAAAGAAATTATTTTGATGTCATTGATATCGGCCTCAACATTACAACTATACATTTAAAAAAATCTGCCAAATGGGTGGGCAGTATAGCTTCCTCATATTTTGTGCGTGTGGATTTGTATATGTTAATCTGATTGGTATAAAATTCATAGGGGATAATGTAGAATTCCCTGAAAATTTCTTAAGAATCCGACAAATGGTTTTGGATGTATAGCTGTGTATGCGATTTTACGTTTGTATATGGACATGCGATACCGCTGATACGACTGCGATGAAATTCATAAAAAAACTATCTGGAAACCAACCCTACAATCGCTGAGAAATTTCATAAAAATTGGCCCCACGGTTTCGGAGTTTTGCCAGTTACAGGGAATTGACCTTGGACAGACAGGCACAAAACAAAATTTGTTCAAAAAAGGCCTGAAATACAAATTGAGAATGGAAATTTTGATTTTGGAGGTCAACATTTTTTTTGACTTCCTGCATGATAATACAAGGCTCCTTTACCTTCAGTAGTTCAGAAACAAAATCTTAGATTGCAATCTTTTGAGGAATACATTTTCCCTCTCAGGGTCCTGAAACTATCCCTAATGATTCAAATTTTCGATATCTCACCTGACCATTCAACGTTATGATTGATGAAAACATCTTTGTCGCCTTCTTCAGGACTCTATTTAATTAAGATTTTTTTTAAATACACACATATATTTTTATTTATTATTTATATTTTCATATCTTTTTTGGAAGTAAGGGGTGTGTCAAAAAAAGACCAGGAGCCATAGTGGGATTGAACCCACGACTGTGGGGTCTACAAACCGAGAACCCAATACACTAACCACTCGGCTATTGCTGTCCCCAATTTATTTAACTGACATTTTAAGTTTTTTTTTTTTTTTTTACTTCATTTATTTGTATCTACAACTGTACATGTATTATATACAACCAGCCGATTGGATTTCAGATTATGTGTTTGGCATTATGGGCGTTATAGAGAAAGCTATCGATTGGCAGCCGCTCTGGATTAATGAAATGTTATTAATCATTTAAGAGGTCTCTTATCCTATTATTTTCAGACATTTATGTGGTAATTGTGGGGAATGGAGTAATCGTATTTGTGTGTTGGTGTGATTTTGTAATTTACTATGAAAACGTCTGTAATATGTTTTGATGGATGAAAAAACTGTTGGGATTTGAAGATCTCTGTGAAGTGTATTATTGTTTACATAAAAAGGGGCAGAAACAATTAGTCTTAAAATTTTGGATTGAAAACTTTGTAATCTTTGAATATTGGAACACATTGCCAATCCATATACTTGGCACCCGTAACATCCAAATAGGTTTGAGTAGGTATGTGTATGTCGAAAGTTTTGATTTTAATGGTAATTTTGATTGTCGGTTGAGTAGGTAATAAAGAATTTTAAATCGTTTGTTGTGTCTGTTTTTTTAATCGTGTGTGTGGATTCCAAGTTAGTCTTTTATCAAATGTAAGTCCTAAATAGTTAACTTTGTCGGACCAGAACAGGTTCATTGTATAAGTATATGCTAGGACAAGTCTCACGACGGAGTGTAAAAGTGATATGTTGTGACTTTGATGGATTAAACTTTATTTTCCAAAGATTGCTCCATTTTTCAATTGTTGATATGTGGTTTTGTAACATGAGTGAAGCTTGTGTAGAAGGGAGATGGCTTGTTAATATGGCGGTGTCATCTGCGTATGTGGCAGTGAGTGTATTCTCATTTGTGGGCATATCAGAAGTAAAAATTGTGTAAAACAGCGGAGCGAGTATTGACCCTTGTGGCACACCTTCAAGCACTTCTTCCATCCCAGAAGTTTCCATATCCTGGTTTACTGCGAAAAATCTCTCTTTAAGGTCTGATTGTATAATCAGATAATAGGCCTGGGGTAAAAATAATTTTAATTTGTATAATAATCCCTCATTCCATACTTTGTCGAAGACCTGAGATACATCTACTAGCGTACAGTTTCTGCTCGAGACACGAAGTAATGAAATCAGTCACTCTGTGAAGTTGATGAGTGGTGGAATGATGGGTTCGAAAGCCAAATTGATGGTCTGGTAAGATGTTCGAAGTAGCAATAGAGATAATTCTTTTGTAAATTAATTTGTCAAATAATTTAGAAGGAACGGGTAACAAACTAATAGGACGATAAGATGATGGGGAGCTTAAATTTTTATGGGGCTTTGGGATCATTTTAATGTAAGAAAGTTTCCATTGTATGGGGAAGTGTGTAGTCCTCAAAATTGCGTTAAATAAAGAAGTCAAAAAGACGAATGCTTTTTTGGGAAGTTCTTGAAGAACTTCAGCTGTTATCAAATCATGACCAGGTGATTTTTTGTAGGAAGCTCGTTTTAAGTTAAAATTTAAAAAGTGAAGAAAATAAAATCAGGTAACAATTATGAAACACAAAAAGACAATTTATTTTGCTGGCTGATTAGACTGCCTACTACAATTAACTGTCTTTTTGTTTTTCATAATTGACACCTGATTTAATTTAATTTTTATTTTTTCATTATTAATTTATTGTTTATACACTCTGAAAAAGGTTTCAAAGGTGTTTTTTTGTCAGTTTTGTTTGAGATCTCATTTTTGCACAAGAAGTTTTGCTAATTTAAATTGGAGGGGAAACAGTGCATTTTTGGCATTTAATGGATTTTTTGATGATTTGGAAAATCAGTTTTATATTATTTTATAAAAATATTTAAAAATACATATATAAACAACAATGATTTATTCTTAAACTCTTAATTCTATGTAAAAATTTGTAAGAAACCAACCTCATTTGAATTCATTCAATATATACACATTTTTTTCCAGTCAAGGGTATGACAGTGCTAAGCTGAAAGCAAGTTCAACCAAATTTTGAGGGCAGGCATCATGATAACAAACGTAAAATTCTCTTAATATCGGAGTTGAAAACAATCTTCTAAAAGTTGAAAGAATATATAAGATGATTTTGTTAATTTATATTTCAATTTTAAAATTTTACCCTGTCACCCAATAGCTTAGAGGTTTTTCTTTATTTTCAGCAGCGTTGAATAGTATGCCGAATTCTTTTATCGCCACAAGAGATTTGTTCCAGACGAATCTGTGCAACTCCTTCGATTTGAGCTTCTAGACACAATCGTCACAATTTAAAAAAAATAAATAAATAAAAAATCAGCCTTTTTGCATGTACCTTGAAAGAAATCGTATTCATAAACATTTTCTTAATCTTGTGCGCATATTTTCTAAAATTGTTCATAACGTTTTCCAACTTTTTCACATTTGGGCTTACACCAGGACTTGATATGAAAATCCCTTCGGTCATGTTGAAATCGACGTAATGGAGGACAAACTGAGATCTTCCCAACGGCCTAGAACAAAAAAAAAAAAATAGAGAAAATTTTCATGAAAAATATAAATATTTTGTCACCTTTCAATCTCATTTTGATATGTATTCCTCGAGTCTGAAGTTTCTGAAGAATGGTCAAAATGTTTTCCCTCCTACACGGTAAAAAAATATAATTAAAAAAAAATACTATCGCAATAATTTTTAAAACTACTTTTAGAAAATCGGAATCATCGGAAATATCAGAACTGCTTATACGAAGACGCATGTTGACTTCATTTGCCAATTCCCTTTCTGCCCTTCTCCCGAGTACAGGTATATTTTCACCCATCCTTCCTTCAACATCTGGCTCGTAGTAGTCTAGAAAAATAATATTTTAATAACAAAATTTATAACGATCCTAGTCAGTGCTGAAATATTTTCACCAGAAGCTTTTGAACTGAACTCCGAAACTGAAAGGTTCTGATGAGAGGTGCTTGCAGAAACGCTTCTATGCTCGAAACTTTTAACTTCCTCATCGCACAATTTTCCAGTCCTGGGAAATATGAATTTTATAAATTAAAATGGATATTATTTTTATTTATTTATTTTTAAGAAAAAAAGATAAATAAACCATTTGCTTATAATCTGTGGAATGCCAAGACTGATTATATGCTCGAGTGTGGCTTGTGCTTCTTCAACGTAATTCTGATCAGGCCCTTTAAGAACATAACTGCAATGCAATTTTTTTTTTTTTAATTTATTAACTATCAAAGATTCAAAATGCATACCTTTCAGTAGGTCCTCCAGATTCAAGTAGTACAGCTAGAAAATTGTTCCCCTGAAGGAAAAAAAATTTATATAAACCTGCTTTCCAAATATTGGAAAAGCCGTACCTGTGCGACTACGAGGAGAAACCACCGTCCGACCGGCACGGAATAAAGAGAACTCGAGTAGGAAAGAAGTCCCCTCATGTATTTCGAAGGGAACACCTCCCTCCAGTAAATCAGCTCTTTCACACCCGTCTCGCTCATTTTCAAAAGACCGCTGTGGCGGAATGTCGTAGTCACCTCGACCAATTCCTCGTTGCTCATGTGGCTGCAGATGATTTTCCCCTGTGGGTAAATCGTTAAAATTCTGGCCAGTTTTTCTAATATTTTTCGTTAAAATACAACCTTGCACAAGTAGGCTGAACCGACGATTGAAAACACCCTTTGGCTGTTCTAAGAAACAAGATAAAATCAATACAATATTGTATAATATTAATTTATTTAAATTACCTCAATGAAAATATCATTTGATTCAAGTTCATTCAGTGCATCATCAATTTGGATCTTAAAAAAAAAAGGTCAATATTTATCAGGCATAATACAAAAAACTCTTACATAAATATCTCTGGGCACGGGTAAAAATGGTGTTGCCATAAGAATTTCTTCAAATTCTCTTCGTTTACTCCCACTTGCTATTGTTTCTTGTATACTTTCAAAAAAGCCAAAATAATAATTATCTATGAAAACGATGTCCGATTCGAACCATCTGAAAAAATAATGAAAGTTTCATCAATTTCATCTTTAGAATCGCCTATGGTTGGTTTATCCACTGAACTTTGGCCCAAACATTTTTTCTAATTTATTTTTAAATGCATACTATTATAAAACAAGGGGACTAAATTTTAAAATGATCTTTTGGTCGTATTTTACAATTGTCAGACCTATGATCACCTCTGTACAGTGGCCAAAAACAGAATAAAGAAAAGCAGAGGAAATTCGAAGAAAAAAAAAATTGTAACCGCCTCAGCATCGATGGTACTATTAAAACAACCCTCACAGCCAGAATGGCATACTCAAGCTGCCACCCTTGCCTACAAATGGGAAAAGGATAATGGCGATAGAAAAACTGAGAATTCATCAGACAGTGGAAAAACATCATCAACCCAAAAGCCATACCAAAATCTTCGACTTTAAAATAACAGACATGGCTAAAACCATCACTGACCTATCTGAAAATATACTAGACCGTTCAAAATAATTACTGAAAAGGGAACTGATTTGAAAAATAAGACAAACCTGGAGCTCTTCTATGGTATAAGGATGGATCAAAGATGGTAAATGGCATGGGAATAAAAGGGCCTAACTTTGAGCGTCACCATAACCATCTTTCAAGCCGAACTTCTAGCCATAGAAACATGTGCACAAATAAACATCTTTAAGATGCAACAATAATAATTCTTTCAGGCAGCTGTATAGGCTATCTAAGGCTACGAGATCGCCTCAAAAATTGTCTGGAAAGCCTAAATTCCTTGAAAAAATTGAAATCTTCAAAAATCGTGATGCTAAAGTGGATCCCAGGTCATGAGGGAATTACAGGCAACGACGCAGCTGAAAAAGGAGCGTTGGAAAAAATCCATTCTGTGGCATAAACCATAGCCATATTGACCAAGGAGGTAAGCAAAAAGGCTACTCGCAAAAACGACCTAATGGGAGAAAGATGAAATCCTACTTAAAATCAAAAACTTTACTGGTTTATTTACAGAACATGCCCCAGAAAAAAAAAAAAAAAAGGGATTATCAACAAATGACCAGTGTCGACTGTACTGGAAGAGACAGAGCTGACAGAGCTTATTCTATGCAACTGCCCCTCAATAGCTAGGAAAAGTTTACGGTATCTTGCTGTACAGATCTAGATGCCATACCTCTGAGGAGAAAGAAACGAAAATCTTCTCGAAAATCCTTTAGTAGAGATCACCACAATAGGCGAAAGTTTAAGTGCATAAGGGAGAACTACCTATGCACTTATCCTATCCAATAAAGAAGAGAAAAAATTATAAAACAATTAAGCATTTAATATTGTTTCATGCCCTGTACACAAAATACATATTCCACAATTGACTCTCTCTCATGATACATTTATCGCTGATGTGAACTTTCATATTGGTTCTTCAAGAGGGAGCAGGATGCAGCTGGTTTTAGGGATGTTGATTTTTCAACTTTTATCAGGAGCAGAAGCACTTTAATGCTTCATTTAATTTTTTTGCAACGTCATCAGCATATAGCGCTAGTTGTCAGAACCTGAGTTTTGGCAAACCAAGAAAAATAGAAAGAAATGATTGACTATGTGTTTCAGTATTGAGCCTTGTAAAATACCTTATGCTATATTGAGGGGGATGAAAGAAAACTAGGGCATACAATAGAAAATGACCATTTTGTTGAGATACGACGTGTAAAATTTTAAGTATATTTATCAGGAAACTATACTCAAATCATCCGGTAGATTATTTCATTATGCCACACCCTGAAGGACATATACGAGTTATCATTGACCCTCCAACACTGTACGCTCATGCTGATAAATACGCTCACAACAGAGGGCTGAGAAAGTTGCTTCTTTGCTCAAAATTCTTGGGACACATGCTCTCTGTGCAGCATGTCACAGTTATATTATTTTGGGTCTTTTTCTACATGCTGGAATATATTAACTTGATACTCAAAAGCTTCTCTGCCAATCCAATTCAACGTCGCTGCTATATTTTCATAATTGTCCTCACCTCGATAAAGATTGCGATAAGTATTTGTGGTACTGAATTATCTGTTGGGCCACTTTGAAGCTTTCATCGAGCGAATATCTGAAAGAAAAATTTTACCCTTAGATAATAACACCGAATTAACAAATATTAAAAAGTAGAAGACGTATGAACCTGGAATTTGGGAGAGCGAGTAAAAACAATTTGTCCTTTTCGCAGCTGTACACTACGTGTATATCCTCGTTGTTGAGCTTTATGCAAGTGCTTAAAAATTTCATAAAATTTAATCGCTATTGAGTTTTAAGAGAATATTTATATTTTTTTACCTTGTAGGAGGTGAACCGGTAATTAAAGACAGTAGATGATATAGCGTAAAAAACACCCCTTTGATTGGTACAATTAAATTTGATGTTTTAGGATAAAGATAAACGATGCCTTCATCGCTTGACATTTCTTCAGAAAGGCTTTTAAACTTGGCAAAAAGTACTGCTGTATTGTTACAAGGGAAAGGCGCATCCTTAAAACATGAACCATTTTAAATAATTAATTTTTTATGTAAGTTTTTTGGTTGAAATGAAAAAGTTAGTGTCACGAGAGGGATTTGAACCCACGACCTTCGGCTCTGCAAGAAAGTAATAATTTGGTCAATAGACCACTAAATGTAAAGGATTTTAAATAATATACTTTTTTTTCTTAATTAATTATACACAATTTTTTCAAAATGAAAAATTTGTGTTACAGGCGGGATTCAAACCCACGAGCTTCAGCTCAATACACCACTGCTCTAACCACTTGAGATTCCGTGACTTCGATTGCCCATGCCACATACTTCTGTTAAGACAGTTTGTTACCTTTTTAAAAACTAAATTAGGATGTTTTTTGTTTTTGTCCTTTTCTCCTTTGTGCCTTTCAACGGCAACTATAATCTGGAATGATTTTTTTATTTTTTATTAAGACATAAAAAAAAAGATTTATTTAATTCAATTGCACCTCATTTAACTTTTTGCATTCAGAAATGACTGAGTCAGCATTTCGAGGGGACACAGGAAAATTGTTGACACTTATTAAAACATCACCTGTCAAAATAAAAACAATAAATTTTAAAAAAAAGTCATTCAATCAACAAAATTACCTATATTAATTTTAGGTTTGTAAATAAACGGAGAATCTTCAATGACTCCAGTTATCAAGACTTTGTCTTTATCATGTACAGTCCTAAGTCCTAAATTCTGCTCTGTTAGCGTTCCCCTCCTTCCCAGGTTTAAAGAGACATCCTTGTATTTTACAATATTGACATAAATAATATTCGAGTCGGTCTAATAAATAAAAAAATTAATTAAAACACAGTTATTTACAAATGAATGACAGAATTACTTTTCTTTCGTCCGAATTGGGTTTGTTCCCTTCGTCTTGATTATTTTCATGTTTACCGGTGTGCCTGTGCTGCCTGATGCTGTTCCTGCGCCTTATGAGACGACGGATCAAGCCTGAAAAATCGTACAAAGATTCGAGTTGGGTCAGAGGTGAAAATGCAGAGCTGCAAACCTGTCTGGCCATATTTGTCTTCATCCGGCGCCTCGTCAGGGGGTGGAGTCGGCTGCCTTTCAGGCAAAGAGTCAAAGTAGAAAACATTTCCATCGGCATCGATGTAATCTCTCCATTTCAACTCCACACTTAACAAAAATCAATTTACTAATGTACACATTGCCAATATTAGATTGATAGATAGACTAAGAAATTGAAGAAATAAAAAGTGCAGCATAATCACAGCCAACAGACTCAATTTGTCATAACAAACACCGATCTTCGTATGTAACATTTTTTTTTAAATTTCCTAACTAATTCAGAATCAATCAGTGAACATTGTGAATTGCAGTAAATCTGTAAATGCGACCACATACAAATGTATGACTTACCAAGCTAGCCATATTAGTAATAAATACACTCATTTAATTTTTTTATTAATTAATTAAAATTTTGAAGTCAGCAAAGTAGTCGGCAGATCTTAGTGTTTTTGTAAATGATGGTTCTACTCACAGAATTAAAAATTGAATTCTGTGAGTAGAATCATCATTTACAAAAACTCAATCTAATTTTCTTGTTCAGCTTGCTGAATTCAGCATAGTCAACACTTCAAGTACTAAGTCACTTCAGATCTCGTTTGTTTCTACTGTCAATTCAAAAGACAGTTTTATTATTACAGGTCATTTAAAACCTCTAATAAAAGTTCAACTGAAAAACTGAAATTAAGGGAAGAAGTAATAAATATTAGTAATTAACAATTAGTAATAATACAGCTTGTGAAATTCAGCATGAAGTTCTACACTTTTAAGTGGTGGCTTCTTCCAAGTCAGATTTTCTTGTCCAGCTTGCTAAATTCAGCATAGTCAACGCTTCAAGTACTAAGTTACTACTGATCTCGTTTATTTCTACTGTCAATTCAAAAGACAGTTTTATTATTACAGGTCATTTAAAACATCTAATAAAAGTTCAACTGAAAAGCTGAGATTAAGGGGAAAAGTAATAAATATTAGTAATTAACAATTAGTAATAATACAGCTTGTGAAATTCTGCATGAAGTTCTACACTTTTAAGTGGTGGCTTTATTTTTTTTATTGTCAATTCAAAAGACAGTTTTGTTATTACAGGTCATTTAAAACATCTAATAAAAGTTCAACTGAAAAGCTGAGATTAAGGGAAAAAAATAATAAATATTAGTAATTAACAATTAGTAATAATACAGCTTGTGAAATTCAGCATGAAGTTCTACACTTTTAAGTGGTGGATTCTTCCAAGTCAGATTTTCTTATCCAGCTTGCTGAATTCAGCAAAGTCAACTCTTCCATTAGTCAACTGCCAATGATCTCAATACAAAACACCTTTCCTATTACTGATTAATTTAAAAAGGAGTTAAATGATTACAGGGCGTGCAACTTGAAATGCAAAAAGTTCGACTGAAAAGCTTAGATTAAGAGAAAAGTAATATATATCAGAAATTAACGATTAGTAATAGTACAGCTTGTAAAATTCACCGTAAAGTTCTACATTGCTAAGTGATGAATTTATCCTAGCCAGCTTTTCTTTTCCTGCTTGCTAAATTAAATCTTCATCTTTTCTGTGTTCAGAACCACTTTCAGGATCTGAATACTGTAAAAAGTTTTTTAAAACGAATTGTCACTAATTGTAAGACCTCAATGAAGATCGTGTATGATGATTTATGAAACGTTCTGCTGAGACATGGAACCTTGGTGGCCGAGCTGTTAGGGCGACTCGTATTCACCATGCTAGAGGTTCTGGGTTCGAATCCCAGCATAGCCCATGGCTTTTTATTTGTTGAAAAATGTATTGTTAAGTGGCCTGATTCATCATCCGTAACACCCAACAGACCCAGGAACTTTTTTAATTTGGATGCTGGGATTGCGCAAATGTCAAACCCTTTATTCAAGCTAGCTGCCGTGCGTTTAAAATTTCTTTAAGTTTTTGAGACACAAGTCTTTTTGTTACATTTTTTTTTTTTTTAATGTTCATTTTGTTTGAACGTCGAGTAGGAAGTTGGTAAGTTGGTTGAAAAGGAAGAAATCTAAGATAGAGTTTGACTCTCTTTTAGATTAGACAAAGTACCAGTTGTGATTTTTTCGTTTTTCTTTTATCGTGCTCCTCCCCACTAGAAATATAGGAAAGTGCAGAAAAACTGAGGTAATTGTTAGTCGTGCAGACCCCAAGCCACCAGTGACAACTGACAAACCTAGATGACGAACTAGAACTGCTAATTTCTGAGTCTCGGCTGTATTTATAGCTGTGAAACTTCTTCATATTTTTTTCTTTTTCTTTCGCAATTATATAATTCAGTTCAAAAATTTATGTGCAGTGCTGATAGGTCCTCGACCTGTAGATGACGCTCTGATTTCTGAACCTGACAAAAGTTAGGTGCAACCTCTGTAAAGGTTTAACGGCCGGTTCATTCTTCATAGTTCATTGGTCCGGTCGAACCTGACGTGTTAAGACCTAACGTGCTCGTTGCCATTGAGACAGTAGCCTCTGGAGAAAACTGTTCCTTCTCTTTCATTTTTTAAAAAAATTATTTCAAAATAATAAAAATGGCTTTGTCCTCGAGGATTTTGGGTCTGGCGGTTTCGAACAAATTTGGAAGAGTATTCTCCCAACAGTTGAGATATTCCAGTGAGTATTTGGAATTTTTTTTTTTCCGAACAGACACTTGTTGAAGACACTTATCGTACAAAGAGATTTAAAGTTTTATACTATATTTGAAATTCTGTTCATCTTGAATTTATTCCGTAAAACTATTATTAATTGTGGATTTTTTATTTTTTTATTTTTTTTTTAAAGAAAAGGCTGGATGTCTTATCTTCCCCCACCAAATAAAAGCCTTAGTCTTATTTTATTGCATAACTTGGAACGCAAACGACGTCCAAGGGCACGCAGTTTATGAAGAAAAATAGAAGAATTTTTCCTTTTTTTTTTAAAGCAAACCTAATATCTATTCAATGAAATTTCAAGGTCAATTAAATTAAACCCCTTTGTATTACGCTCTTTATAAATTGAATCAGAGTTAAAATTTGTCGTAAAGTTTATATATTTGCTCTGTTACGTAGTTTTGTCTGAATTCTTTCGGTTGGAAGTTTGTTTATTCAGTTTTGCCATTCTCAGCAGACATTTTTTCCTCCCTACCTTTTTCTTTATCACTTTTCGATTTTTATTTTTAAAAAAATTGATCCGTTGATCTAAATGAAATTAAATTAATACTCATGTCCTTGAAATGTATACAACTTATCACTATCATTAACTTATGGCTAAGCGATACAAGGGCATTTGGCATATGCGTTGAATTACGTCTTGCATGTTGGGTTTAAAAAACACAACAGAGAGATAATATTCATTTTTACACTTTTCTGGACTGTCCTTATTATTCCAATGATGGCATCGATAATGATAATGATGATGAAGCAGGGTTTGTGCTCCCCAGGCATAGCAGCCTTCTGGCTTGTCGGAACTTCCTATAGTTCCCTACTTCTGTGCAATCGACTCAATTCTTTTTTTCAGTATTGTCTTTTTTTTACGTTCTTTATAAATTGAATTTGAGTTAAATTTGTGGTAAAGTTAATAAATTTGCTGTTATGTAGTTTTGTCTGAATTCTTTTGGTTGGAAGTTCGTTTATTCAGTTTTGCCATTCTCAGCAGACATTTTTCCTTCCCTACTTTTTTCTTTATCTCTTTTCGACTTTTTTTTTTTTTTTTTTTTTAATTGATCCGTTTATCCGAATCCTGAAATTTGAATTAATAGTCATGTCCTTGAAATGTATGCAATATGCAACTTATCGCTAAGCGATATGAGGACATTTGGCATATGCGTTATTAATTACTTCTTGCATGTTGGGAAGGTAAGATTTAAAAAATAACAAACCAGAGAGATATTATTCCTAAATATTCGTTTTACGGTTTTCTGGACCGTCCTTATTATTGCAATCATGTTGATGTTGATGGATAAGTAGAGTGAGGCACCGATGATGATGAAACTAGGAAGCAGGGTTTGTGCTTCCCAGGCTCAGCAGCCTTCTGGCTTGTCGGATTTTCCTAGTTCCCTACTTCTGTGCAATTGACTCAACCCTTCTTCTCAGAAAGAATTAAGTCTTTTTTACACTCTTTATAAATTGAATCAGAGTTAAATTTGTGGTAAAGTTAATAAATTTGCTCTATTATGTAGTTTTGTCTGAATCCTTTCGGTTCTGGAGTTTATTAATTCAGTTTTGCCATTTTCAGCAGACATTTTTTTTTAATGCTAGGTTATGTCTCCATTGAGCCATTGCTTCGCATTTGAAGATGATATGGGTCAAAATTCCTCTTCACTTCGTAGTCCCATAATGCCAGTGTCTGGTTAAAAGTCATATCACTTCTGAGCCTGGCCCTTTCCAACTGCAGCAGAATATTGGAATAAACAAACCATGCAAGTCAGCCACAACTCTAACTCTAGGGATGAGCTTATTCACAAAAAGAAAATCGACTCTATATGACTCGTCTCAGTGGCTGTCTCCTTTCTGACTCTGGCTTACTCAGCCCACAACTGAGTTCGTCCTCCTTTCCTCCTAGATACTCGAAAGTCAACTTGTCCTGCATTGCATGCGACAATCGACTCTATTTGAAATTTTAATCATCTTTGTCCTCAGCAGTCGACATCGTGTCTGGCTGGCAGTGTCCTTTGACTGAATCCTTCTGATTGACTGTGTCCGTCTACCTTTTCACTATGTCCTAGGACTCGAACAGTCCTGCATTGAGGATCTCCGATTACCCATCTCAGCCCTCAGCAGTTGATGTGTCTTGACCAGGTGTCTTTTCTCACCCTATGTCTGGCTCAGCCCTCACACAGTCCTCAATGCCCTTTAACTAAATCCTCCCTATTCTGGCTGACTTATTGAGTGTCCTCCTTTCTTGTTGCCTCCTAGACAGTCGATTAGACAACGGGTCATCCTCACCTGATTAAGAAAGAGAGTTGATGGACACATTGACCCATGTATCTGTCATGTAGAGAAAAATTGCTTGATGTGTCCCATGTCCCAAGTCCTGAAGGGTGCCATTCCATGGTTCCATATAGAGAGCGCTTAGGAATGCCACCTGGCGTGAGGATGGAAAGAGGGTTGTTTTATTGTATACAGTACTACATCAGTAGTGTGTTGAGAGTGAATGTATTTATTGGCATGAATGTATGAGAGGGCCAATCGTGGAATTGACCCTCATTAGATTGGTTAAATAATGTGTGCTCAGTGATGAAGGAATATGAAGTACTCCACCACCCTGAGTGAACGGTGTAACTAGGAAAGAATGTGTTCAAGAGAGTGTGAATTAATTTGGATTAAGAAAATGATTGCTGGTGCTGAATTGACCTAACTGTTGACAGCACCTGGAGACCATCCTCGGTTGCTGGATAGATAAGGCCGAGATCTGACCTCGAACTGCCCACACCGGTGGTGGGTGATTCTCAATGCCTGCCGGTAATATATTGTAAATTACACAGAAGCTCAAATTGCTGGCGAGCTGCAAGAAGCGATAAGCTCAATCTGTACACGTGTATGCATGTGAAATATGATGCATTTCTTAAAAAAAAAAAAAAAAAAGACAGTAATTTTAAATAGTAACAGACAGTGAACATTTCTGTCCTATAATAAACAAATAGTTAGGTCTATTTTAATTTTGTGATTTTCAGGCTATGAGTATATCAAGACGGAGAAAACCGGTGAGAAACAAAATGTTGCTCTTATAACGCTCAATAGACCGAAAGCGTTGAATGCACTGTGTGATGCTCTTGTAACCGAATTGAGCAGTGCTGTCGATTGCTACGATAAGGACGACAGTGTCGGTGCAATTGTTCTTACAGGAAGCGAAAAGGCGTTTGCTGCAGGTACACCGCACATTACAACAACTATTTGGCGAATCTAATTTTGTTTTATCAGGTGCCGACATAAAGGAGATGCTTAACAAGTCTTTCGCTGAAAACACCAAATTTGCGCTTTTAGAGCACTGGAGCAATATTACAAAGTGTAAAAAACCCGTCATCGCTGCTGTCAACGGATTTGCTGTAAACATTTTAAAACTTATTTCAAATTTTTTAATTTATTTTACTCTTCTTTTTTGATTGTTGACTTTTTATATTTAATGGGTTTCTTTTCAGCAACTAGACAACCATCAAACTCTGTTTCTTTCGTATGCGTTTACAAAAAGAAAACGAGACTGATGAGGGGAGGCTGATGCCACAAAATCAGTATCATTAAAATGAAAATGAGTGATGGTTGTCTAGTTTCTGAAAAGGAAGGCAAGAATTTTTTAAATTTATTTCTTTTGTTTTTAAATTAGCTCGGCGGCGGCTGTGAATTGGCCATGATGTGTGATATTATATACGCAGGGGAAACTGCGAAATTCGGTCAGCCCGAGATCATTATCGGGACATGCCCTGGTGCCGGGGGTTCGCAGAGGATTGCCCGGAGCTGCGGGAAGAGCAAGGCAATGGAAATTTGTCTAACAGGAAATCAATTTACGGCTCAAGAAGCAGAAAAAATGGGTAAAAATTTTAAATATAGAGAATAAATTTGTATAATTTATTTATTAACGTTTGAATTGTGTTAAGGTTTGGTCAGCAAGGTCTTCCCGAATGACAAGCTCGTTGAAGAAGCCGTTAAACTCGGTGAGAAAATCGCTTCACATTCTCCTCTCATAGTGCAGATGTGCAAAGAAGCTGTCAATATCGGTAAGCATGACTTTATAGAACAAAATTAAAATAAACTTACGAACAATTTTTGTTATATATGTTGGTTTTATTTTCAGCATTTGAAACAACTCTCCAAGAAGGGTTGAGATTCGAAAAGAGAACATTCTACGCTACTTTTGCCACAGTGAGAAAATAATAATTTTTAAGAAATCAACACAATAAATATTTTTTTTTTCTTTTTCAGGAGGATCGCAAGGAAGGAATGACTGCCTTCGTCGAAAAGCGCAAACCCAACTTTCAAAACAAATAAATATAATTTTTATAGTGCCATTATGATTAAAGATCTTGATATAATCATGGGTAACATTCCCAATCTGTTGACAATTAAAGGAAAAATCTATTAAAATGATTTTTTTTTAACTTGAAGTTATATTTTTACAAAAAGTTTATAAATTATTACAACAAAAATAAAGTTTTTTTTTTACTTTTCACCTTTTTTTCAACACTACGTGGGATGCCTTTTTTCTAACCGCACAACAATCGCTGAGGTTGAGATGTTAATTTGTTTAAAATTCGCTGGTCAAGTTTGACAAAATTCTTGTTTAAATTTTCCAGGTATTAAACCTGAGAAATATTTCTCATACTTAGTGCTCCAGCGTAACGATTCTCACTGCTTATGAATCGGACTTGAGTGTGCTGTACATGCAGGCAGGAAGGGAAACACCAGTGAAATCGACACACGTCTGAAATATGATAAGCATGAAAATAAGGTAACACTTTTTATAAAAACAATACCCTTGGACGCCCTTTCCTCGCCTTGGTTGCTTCCTATCTCCATGAATAGAACAATTCAAAAAACTAGATTGGTTGACAGTCATGTTGAAAGTGCCTAATTTATTTATATACATTATCCATTTGTCCAACATCACTAATAAAACATCTTGCAGAAGTAAAAATGAAAACAAATTTATCGAAATGTACCTTTACGTTTTTTCGCAGTGTTAAGGCTTATTGGGACAAGGAATGATGTGTGATAATGCATTTTATTTATCAATACCAAACAGGCAATTATCTTAGGGATTAACTCTAATCTCAACGGTAATTTTGTGTTTGGTAAACTATGAGAATTATTCAAACGAAAAATAATTTGATACGTTAATTTTCAGAATTGTTTGGTCCATATAAAGAATAAACACTTTTTACCCATTTGATGCTGTAAATAAACAATTTCTATATGGAATCCTGGCATTTTCTAGCACTATCTAAAATGAGTATTACCTACAATTAAATTGGCAGTTTCAAAATAGTCCTCAAAACTTTATCCCACTTCAAACGCCCACCTAAGACAAGTTTTATTTTATATTAATTAATCTTTATGTAAGGTATTGGTGGAAATGAAAAAGTGTCATGAGTGGGATTCGAACCAACGACCTTCAGCTAAATGCGCTGCTGCTCTACCACTTGAGCTATCGTGACTTCGATCAACTCGACACCAACTTCCCATCTCAACCTACCTTTCGAATTTTCCCCTCCTTTTTGCCATTTTTCAAATGTCATGTAATCAGGATTTGATTCTCGGCGACAAACAAAATGGCCACGGAGAGCTTTAGTGAAGATATACTTCCTTTTACTTATTAAATACATTATATTTCATGGGCCAATTGACCAAATAACTTTTTCCAATTAATTAATGTTTATAATGAAAAAGTATCATTTCATGTAGTGTCATATAATGAATTTTATTTTATAGTTGCGTTACTTGGGGGTCTGTAAACAACTTTATCACAGATATTTATTTAGAAATCATGTCTGGTGTGATGTAGGTTACAGAAAAATATTTTCTTTATCATGCCAACGTTTCGATCTTTATTGATTGATCATATACTTTGATTGAATATATAAAATATATTTTGCATTGTATAATTATTCACATTCACATTAATTATTCACTTATCCACATCCAAAATGTAATTGTAATATGTAAACAATGTTTGTAAATCCCAGACCCTGAACACTTGAGATCATACAGATTGAAAACATCTAATAGTTGCAAAAATATATCTTCACCTCTTGTATTCCCATGGAGGCTTTTTAATGCAGCAAGTTCTTCTATTACACAAAATTGTTTATCAATTCCACGGATAAAAATCAAAAATTGAGCAGTGCTAGTTATATCGTTGCTTTCATCAAGTGCTAGTGAAAAATACTCAAAATGTGAAGAATTTTCTTTTAATTTAGGGTAAAATAGAGTTCCCACTAGGCTTCTGATAGCACGCATTTTTGTCACTGGCCACATTTCGGCATGCTCACGCTCTAAATTTGTTGATTTTTTCTAAAATTATATTGGGCTTTGGCGGGCCGCGCAAAAAGTTGCAAAGGGCCGCAGGTTGCCGACCCCTGATGTAGATAATTGGTCGCAGGATACTCCCTTGCAGAACATCGACTTAGGTGAGCTTGATTCCTAATGTTCAGTGCTATTTTTTACTTTAAACCAGGGATCGAAGTACTTTGAGATGAGATAGTCAGGGGCAGGGTTTGATTGGGGTGTTAAATATGTCAGCAGTGTAATCTGTGTATAAGACTGATACATCTTAAAGTTGAACCTTAATGAGTTCAAAGTTTTGTGGAATAGTTTTTATTTTTTTAAACAATGGATACCAGGAACTGGAGGATGTCCCCTTGACCACTGCAGCTACACAGCTTACTGTATTTTATTCCTTGCTCTATTTTTTGGGAGCTCGTAACACGCATGTGAATTGAGCCGCCAGTGTTCTTCCATCGAAGAAACTCATTTTTGAAGGAGGTCAGGACCAAATTAAGGGCTGCTGAATCTGATCCTGCCCAGACCTTCCTTTGATAAGTGCCATGTCAATTTCTTTCAATTGCGGCCACCGGTCCCCTTAGGCGTCAGAAAAAAAGTCTAGACGTGACGGTGGGGATCGAACCTACGACCGTGGGATCTACTAGCCGAGAGTCTGATGCCTTAACCACTCGGCTACCACGCCCCCCCCCTTTGTGAAATAATACTTCAGGAAGGAAGATAGCGAAGAGATTCATATAAGGGCCATTTGCAAAACTTACAAGTGAAGTACTGAAAGGCAACCGCAACCGAATCAGGATTCTGGATGGACTCCAAGACAGGGTACCGCCACCAAAGCACATACACCGGATAGGAGTACAGACAGAAGAAACACTGTGACCTCAGTGGAGGAATATTTACTAAAAACTACAAGAAAAAATATAACATTTTAGTACACATTTATTAGCAATATTACAATAACAATTTGTTTACTTCAATAGGAAATAAAAATTCCAATTTATTTTATTTTTTTATATATATTTTTTTAATATGGATTTTTGGATGACATATTAAAAAATAAACCATTTGGGCTCTGAACAATAAAAATATTTCATAAACTATCGTAATTAAAATTAATATTTGGTTAGTTACAATAATGAATTATTACGAGAGACTTTATGATTACAATACCCATTTTTTAAAATATAAATATATATTTATCATAGTTTTAACGATAACATAAAAATATATATGTATTATATATATAATTATTTGAAGTTGTGATTATCATGTACAACATATAATTCAAGAAGGGGAACACACTCCCTGAAAAAATTAGCGAGTTAGGCACTATCTTTGGTTTTAAGCGAGACACTAATAATTTATCATTTAAAGGAAAATTCAGTCGTTAATATAGAAAGTAAAACAGAATAAGAAAAAGGTACATAGGGTAACTACTAGATAAAAAGTACATAATACTGAATTTCTTTTGATAGTGGAAATTAGAAAAATACAAAAAGTTTTTTTTTTTAATTTTATTTAAGAGAAAAGGGAATGCTAATTAAATTGAAAAGTTTTATTTTTCACAACCTGTCCTCTTTTTCAAATGTGCTTTCACCTGAATTGTTGGCAATTTCATAATCAATTATATAAAGTTAAAAAGATTAAAAATTAAAAAGGAAAGACAAAAGAAAAAGAACTGCCTATTTTTATATATATAAAAAATCATGTCTTTCAAACCCTGAAAATAAAAATTTTGTGTAGTTTGTAAAATCCTCAAGCCGATTTGAAGCAAATACTTACAGGAAGTCGGAGACTATTTCGTCCAAGGGAATTCGGACACTGAAACAACAGTTGTGTTTTCCATAGCCATTCTTCTCATTCCGGGCAAGACCCACATGAAGGCAGATCTCAACCAAATCAGAAACCACCTAAAAACATATGTACATAAAGTAAACAAATAAGGTAAAGTGATATTTAAGTTAATAATCGTTTATTTTACCTGCAGAGATCTCCTCTTAACAAGTAATGGCCGTAGTGTTTCAAATAATCAGTGGATATAGCATTAAGGAAAATATTTGCTTAAATTTTATAATTATAAATTATTATCATACTACCCACCAGTTATAGAAATGATGAGTATGCTGATTTTTTTTTTTTAAACCAAACCACTTCTAACCATTTCTGACCATCTCAGAGAGCATCTAGAGATGGTCAGAAATGGTTAGGGATGGTACAGACTCAGCATTAAAAATTACAAACATGTCTGACAAACCAAAATAATGATTAATTACAATTAATTAAGGTTTTTAGTTGAGATAAAAAAGTCAATGGCACGAGTGGGATTCGAACCCACGATCTTCGGCTAGATACGCCGCTGCTCTACCACTTGAGCTATCGATCCACTCGGACACCAACTTCCCATCTCAACTCCACTCTTTCAATTTTTCCTCTTTTGGGTTGAGATGGGAAGTTGGATAGTGGATCGAGGTCATGATAGCTCAAGTGGTAGAGCAGCGGCGTATCTAGCCGAAGATCGTGGGTTCAAATCCCGTTTGTGCCATTGACTTTTTTATCCCAACTAAAAACCTTAATTAATTGTAATATATTAATTGGTCAAGTGGACCACAAAATTAGTGAAAATAATGATTAATGACCATTTGCTCACATTTTATAAGACCATCCCACAAACCAAACAGAGAAATTTCCCAAAATATCATTTACTTATTTTAATTTTGAAGATTCAGGGTAATAGTCAAAGATTCATAATAAGCTAACTGAATTTTTTGTTAAAATACATGGCTTAAGTCTTAAGTAAAGATTATTTGTTTTAGAATTGTTTAAAATAAAAAGGATATTAGAGTCCCCAAGGTGAGTGGCCTCCATTTAAATACAGCACATATGTGAAACCATCTTTGGACATACCTTTAATATAATAATAATACGGTAGGAAGCTGTGCAGCCTTTAAGCAAAATTACATAATCGTTAAAGTTTGTCAATAGATTTTAAAAAAAGTCCCACCTGAAATTCCGGTGTTCATAAAAATGGATCGCAGGTTTGTTCGTAGTGAGGACGTGAAGGAAAAGAGCTTTGCAATCTCTGTTTTCCGGGGCGGTCAGATGAGATATCAAATTGTCCAAGAGTAAAGAGGCGATTCCGTTCCTTCGATGGACCTCGGACACGCCCAGGGATAGCATGTACGCGACTGAAGAAGACTTGCCGAAGCATGTCGAGAGTATGCTCTTATCCTGAGGGAATAAATTTGACTTGTATATCGTTCATTTCATTTGCCGTTATGTCTTACCTCTTTGTTCAATTTGGAAAACGACTTGATTTCGGCGACGATAAGCCCGATGATGACACCCTCATATATGGCCGCTAAAGAATAAAACCTAGGGTTTGATGTGATCTCCTCGTACCAGTTGTAAGGGTAGTCAATGGGAAACCAATTTCTGCAAAGGGCCCTCACCTATGTCGAAATCGGTTATTTTTAAACACGCTAGCCCTCGGATTCGGACTGTCATTTGAATATTTTACCTCTTCAAGGTCTGATGGGCATAGGAACCTAAGCTGGAGATTGTTCAGGTTGCAAAGCGGAACGGATTTTGTTACATTTTTTTTATAAGAGTTCCCATTATCTACATTGTACCTGGAAGAGAATAGAAAGCAACTTTATAGAAATTCATAAAGCATAATATAAGAAAACATTTCATTTCAAACTGGCAATAACTATAGCAAATAAAAAGCTACAATTATAAAAGTAATAGCTAAGGACTGTTATTCTAATAAAGCTATTAAGCTATTAGTAATTAAAACTTTTTTTTGTATATCAATAAATTCAAAATTACTACAATCACAAGATTATTCTGAATTAAACAATGCATTTGTTCAACTGTGATTTGCCCGTCATCTGCGGGGTGATGAAGCTGTAATGTGTTCGTTATCGATCATTTTGGTCTGTCTGTCTTAGCTGCGTTGTCTGTCGGCTCTTTTAATGAAATGTTTTTGATTTAACTAAAATCTCAGACTACATAAGAACGTAGATTTACTGTCAGCATTTTTCCATTCATTTTTATTTTAAACGCGTTTTTACTCATGTCGTGGCCCTCAGTACATTTAAAACACTTCCCCGAATGCTATAGTCTAACTTAAGGCTTCAGGAATTTTTTTTCTCATTGATAGTTTTAAATGTTAATTACAAAAATTATGAAGCCAAGGAATTTCAACTTTCAATAATTTTGGGCACGTCGAACGCTTTTCTCTGCATTCCGCAGCAGCTCTGACCCAAAAGTACCTGTGTGTGTCAATGCCAATTCTGATTTGCAAGAGGCCACCTATTGATTGAGGATTTGATGTGCACCATCTTCTTGGATGACCCAGTCCGCTGACACGACCCCTTTTTCTTTATTTTTGTACCGAAAGTAAATGTCATTGTGTCATTTTCACACATTAACATATTTTACAATGTGTGGAGGTTAGTGACCGTTAATCGATAATTATTCAGAAATCGTGAGATGCAGTCTGGTTTGATGTAGGTTTCATAAAAACATTTTCTTTATCGTGCCAATGTTTCGATCTTTATTGAGATCATCTTCCGGGCCTGGGATTTGTTTGTAAATCCCAGGCCCAAAAGATGATCTCAATAAAGATCGAAACGTTAGCACGATAAGAAAATGTTTTTATGAAACCTACATCACACCAGACCGCATCTCACGATTTCTGAATAATATTTTACAATTTTAAAGATTTTTGTGTGCCTTTTTGAGATTTTTTCTTTATAAGCTTGATGTTGTTCGGCTGCTCATTTAATTATGTAACTGTTTATTGAATTAATCAGCCTTTTACCATTTATTTTTATTTTAAATGCGTTTCAACTCAAGCATGTCTCTTCCTCAGTACATTTAAGAATACTTCCTTAATGCTGTTGTCTAATTCAAGTGCTTGAAATGCATTGTAAATAAAAATAAATTTTTATTTATTTTATAGTTGGGGAGCGTCGGTGGCCGCAGCGGTTTAGGCGTTGACATAGCGCTCATCACTGTAAGGTAAAGGTCCCGGGTTCGAATCCAGCGACCCTGCATTCGAACCCGACATCCTTACAAATGGGCTTTTTTTCAAAAACACCGGCACCTCAAGGGTTTATATGACCTCTGCTGTTGCGAACCCTATTTAAAAAAAATTAAATGTAAAAAGGCTGATTAATTTGATACACTACGTAATTAATTTTTTCTAGTCGGATTGAAATTTAATTATTTCTTAGATCAACTTTCACGGCTCTGGCTTTTTCAAGGTCAATTGTGACTCACAATCAGGTATAATCTATTCATACCTGTTTTTAAATCACAAAATATATATTTTTTTTACAGTTTTTATTTTAAGAAATAAATTATAGAGCATTTTGAAGTTTTCTTAGATCTTTTTTGCAACACGTTTGATTCTTTAGATTCAGTTTGCGTTGATGATTTTGAAAATTTTCTTTTGATTTTTCGCCTTAATAGGTTTGATCATAAACAAACAAAAAATAATACAGAAAAGAAAAAGCGTTAGCTCAATAACTGAGCTACAGAGAAGGATCATCCGTACCCGACTCACAAACGGCGTATGCGGTCGACACACTGGTTATTTTTGGATCCATGCAGGGCAAGGTTCCTCCATGTGTCTCTCATAATTGAAGGGTGTCCTTGGCTCTTTATAGAGAGCGTGTAAGAATGCCATCACATGCCCACAATGAATCTTTGGACCCCTTTTTACAATATTAATGATATCTCGTTCACTGAGAGTGAATATATGTATTAACATGAATGTACTGGTGGACCATGGCTGTTGACACCTCTTGTGATTTAGTTCAGTGAACGGACAACATCAAGGACCCCAGACTGACAAAACCCAAAGTCAGTGATTCTTGTATCATTCATTAAGCCTTGAAATAAGTTATTAAATAGTTTCAAAAATTTAAAAAATTGTAATCATGAGGTTGGAAAAGCAAACATGCACATGGATCATCTCCGATCATCCCACAGTTGTTGGTTTACTGTTCGGTCTGACAAGAACGATCAGTCGTCAACACGCCACACTCACAAGTTATACAAAACAGAGATGACAGAGTAAAATTGCGATTTAAAAAGGTGGAACAAATTTACTTTGGTCAAGTTCCTGTCAAATTTGAACAAAACAGCTGGTCTTAAATATTTTTTAACTTTTATAAAACAATAAATAAGGGATGTTTAACTTGATATTTATTTTACTATAGCCAGTATATTCCTCTTAAGGCAAAAATTCAACTTTTAGATATTCTTTAGTCTCATGACACCCTATATACGCAGAAAAATCATAATTCTTACAAGCCGATTCGTAATATATCCGTGGGGGGGAAAATACAGTATAAATTATCCTTTAATGAAGAAACAAGTATGAACTTACCAACTGAAAGTGTCCATTTAAGGATGATAACTTAACTCATGCATAACTACTGTCTCCTTTTTTTAAAATTTACTATTGTAAACAAAAACTCCTAAAGGGTAAATTGAAAAATAAAAATATACACCAGGGTGAGAACCTCTCGATAATCATATGAAAGGGGTTTTCAACATATGATCCCGAGATCATTGATCCGACTGGGCGTTGACTTTTATTTCGTCAAAATTCAATTTAAGCCCATAATTAAAATTCGTCTCTTTATTTAATTTAAAACGATTTAGTTTGAAAATGTTGAAAAAGTGGGTGTTAAAAGACAAAGTGTTTTTTTTTCCTTGTAAGGCACGATTTAATCCATGGCATTGATTGGTGATGTCACTGATAGCTTTGTGCTTTTCCCAAGAGTTTATCCTAGATGTAAATTTTTTTTAAAAATAAACATATACAGATGAAATTTTTCAATTTAAAAACCCATTATGATCTAAATTTTTAAAAAATTTAAATAATGGAAATCTTTTAAATTTTTCGTAGGTGAAAATTGCATTGAGTTTTTTGTAGGTCATATTTTTGTCGGTAGGGTTGGTTGTAGGCCGAATAGTTAAGATTTGAATGTTTATAAGGTTTAAAAAAATAGAAATTTTGGTGTAAATTTAGTTTTTTCGTTTTAATTTTGGAGATTTGGTCAGGATTTATGATCTCTAGCGTGAAGAACTTACAAGCAAGTGTCAGAATCCGCCACTGCAGGTGCTGGTGTACAAGAATAGAATATCGCTTTTATCCACATTTGAATAAAATCAAATGAAACCCCTGTTTATACTGTCCCTTGAGAGATTTTATTATTCCTCCTTAAGGATAAATAACATGGTTTAAATGCTTTAAAGGTCATTTTCCTTTTTTCCTTAAAAAACTTTTTTTTCGGATTGTGGACGTCAGCTGTTGTGTATCACTATCATTTGTTGGTGTTCAACTAGCGCCGCCATGCTTGGTAACATTTTAGCTTAGGTTAAGTACATTTAAAATTTAATAATTTAACACGTTAATAAAAAGTTCTAGTTTAGTAAATACATTTAAAAAAACGGATATTAAATTGTGTGAGGGAAGCGTGGGATGAATTCGTACAAAGACGCGAACAGAAGGGTGTTGGCGATACAGGCGAAGAAGAAAAGGCACAAACCCGGGAAGAGGAACAAAAAGACCGAGGACAACAGATGCACGACGCCTAAGGAGAAGAATTTCTATAGCAAGACGGACCCGAGCCCTTCTTCGTCGAACGAGACCGCGGAGGACGATTACACGCCTTACACGTCCGACGAGGAGGAACAGGAGAGCACCAAGGATTACTGCAAAGGAGGCTATCATCCTGTGAAAATCGGCGATCTTTTCCTTAGCAGGTACCACGTGACGAGGAAGCTCGGTTGGGGCCACTTTTCCACCGTGTGGCTCTGTTGGGACCTTGTCGACAAGAGGTTCGTCGCCTTGAAAGTAGTGAAGAGCGCTTCGCACTTCACAGAGACCGCCCTAGACGAGATCCAACTGCTTAAAGTCGTGAGGGACAGCGACACCAACGACGCCAAAAGGGACAAGGTCGTCCAACTTTTGAATGACTTTAAAATTAGTGGAGTCAACGGGACTCATGTTTGCATGGTATTCGAAGTACTCGGTCACAATCTCTTGAAACTGATAATAAAAAGTAATTATAGTGGTATACCGATTAGGAATGTCAAGTGTATTATAAGGCAGGTGTTGGAAGGTCTCGATTACCTCCACACGAAATGCAAGATTATACACACGGATATAAAACCGGAGAATGTGCTTTTGTGCGTGAGTGAGTCGTACATAAGAAAGCTGGCTTGCGAGGCGACCGAGTTGCATTCGACGGGTTCGAAACTGCCGATCTCGCTGAGGAGCACGGCGCCGAAGGAGTTCCAGGAGATCCCTCCCAACTCGAAGATGTCTAAGAACAAGAAGAAGAAGCTGAAAAGGAAGGCGAAGAGGCATTCTGAATTGCTGAAGAAGCAGATGCAGCAGATGGAAGAGCTGGAGGAGCAGAAGAAACTCGAAAACCAGAGCGAGACAAGGCAGGAGACGATGAATCAAGACGTCCCGGAGAACGCAGACGAGGCGAATGAAAACAACCAAAAAATGATGCTTGATCTCCTGTACAAAGGCGATACAGGAGAGCAGGAGATAATGGAAGATAATGAAGTCGAGCCTGGCAGCGGAGGTGATGAAGACAGGCTTAGCGGAGAAGACACCACCCAGTCTTCACCTCAATCGTCAGAGAAGAAATACTTAGGCACCGACGACACCGATCCGTCACGTTTTGAATGCGAAATGGACGTCAAGATCGCCGATCTTGGAAACGCGTGCTGGGTCGACAAGCATTTCACGGAGGACATTCAGACGAGGCAATACCGCTCTTTGGAAGTGCTCATCGGAGCCGGTTACAACACGTCTGCCGATATATGGAGCACAGCGTGCATGGCTTTCGAACTCGCCACCGGTGATTACCTCTTCGAACCGCATTCAGGCGAGGGATATTCAAGGGACGAAGACCATCTCGCTCACATAATCGAACTACTCGGAGAGATTCCAAAGAGGATTATAAATTCCGGCAAACAGTCGAGACAATATTTCAACAAGAAAGGCGAACTGCGACACATACCGTGGCTCAAACCGTGGAACCTGTACGACGTATTAACTGACAAGTACAACTGGTCGGACGAAAGCGCATCGAGCTTCGCCGCCTTCCTCCGACCCATGCTCGACTTCGACCCCAACAAAAGAGCCACGGCTGCCGAATGTCTTCAGCACCCTTGGCTAAAGTACTGAACAAACTCATAAAAACAAAACAAAAAAAACACCACCTAATTTTATTTTTTAATTTGTTTTCATTCATTGTTATTTAATTTTTTTTTTTACATACTTATTACTTTAAAAGAGCATGCAGCGTTTAAAAACTAAAAACGAAGTGGTGTCTTAAGGAAACTTTAGTCTGATATAGGCCTAGTTGGTGAAATATTATTTAGTTGTTAATGTGATCTTAGTCTAGGTGAATCTCATGTGATTAATGACTTTGCCAACTTTTTTATACAATAGGTAAGATATAATTTAATATTTATTAACTTAATGTATATAATATTATTATAACCATAAAGAGGACATTAATTAATCGCTTAGGGGTGTCGGTGGCCACAATGGTTAAGGCATTGACACGACGCTCATCGCTGCAAGGTGAAGTTCCCGGGTTCAAATGCAGGGCCGCTGGATTCGAACCCAGGAACTTACACAGTTAGAAGTGTTTTTTTTTTCGAAACACTGGCACCCCGGGGGATGAGCTGACTCCTGCTGTTATGAACCCTCTAGAAAAAAAAAAAATCAGTTCAAATAAGAATAGGCAGAATTTGCAATAAAACATTTTATTTATTTATTTTTAATTAATCTTTTTTTTTTATTATTCAAGTTGATCGATCAGAGTGAAAACAAGAAAATTTCCTTTTTATTTTTATTTCTGACTCTTCTTTCTGCCATTGAATAAACTTTGATAATAAGTCTAGCGTTTATTTTCTTTGCAGTAGGGCGTATTTAAGTATTAAAAATTGATTTTTCTTTAATTAAAAGCAATAAAAGTAAGTTTTACATTTTTAAATAATATTCAGACGCTGCAAATTTAATGCTGTGTTTATTCAACTGCAACTAAAATATATGGTGAGATTAATTGAAACGTTTTTACGGGATTATACTAACTTTTGAGTCAATATTACAAGAAAAAAAAGTTTTATCAAAATGTTATCATAAATTTAGATAAAGATTTACAGTTAAAATTCCATAAAATAAAGCTCGGGAACTTTTACATAGTGATATCATTTGATTATTATTATTATTTTTCTTTTTTAAATCTAATCAGGAGCTTTGATATTCTTTGATAGGTTGTTTAACTGAATTTATTCCAAATAAAAAAAAAAAAAACCTTTGATATTCAAAAAAAAATTTTTTTTAATAAGTCAGACTTAATAGATTTACTTTTCTTTATCTTTAGAAGTAATGGATGAGTTCTGAAAGGACGAGCGTTTTTGTGATGGCATAATCAGCCTCACGGATGAAGTTGAACCGCAGACAACAGGGTAGAAACGTATTTCTCATCGCCGACAAGTTTGACAGGGAACATCACGGCAGGTCATTTTCTCATCCGGGGCGTAGCTTTTCTCAGCCCCGATTAAAAAATTGACCAAGTGAGTCTAATTAAAAAAAAAAAAATCAATTCATACAAATTCAATTGGTTCAATCTTAATATTCTTTTAGGGAATTACTTGTTTAATATGATGTAACATAATACACTTTAATTATTTCAATTAATTATACTTCTTCTCTAAAGTCTTGGTTGAGATGAAATAGGTAGTAGTCGAACCCATGACCTTCAGCTCAGTATAAGTATAATTAATTGAAATAATTAAATAGATAGTTATGACCACTAAACATATAAGTATGAATACACTTTAATATTGAATCTCAATGTATATTAGCAAAAATGTGTTCTTTTAGTGTTAAGGTTTTAAAATTTAATTTGTTATTTTAATGTTTCAAATGGATTGATTTTGAATTAGAACTCTTTTCAGGCTGTCTGATTTATGAATGTAGCATTACATCAGGGGAAAAAAAGATGTTAGGATTCTTCTAAAGAGAGTCGCCTTCATCCATGGCTATAGCAAAGGTATTTTTTAAAAATTCAAAATTTAATTATTTTTTCTGCCCTAGTCCTGACAAGTAAAACTTGCATTAAATCAAACAATTATCTGCAAATATTTTAATTATAACTTTTACAGATTTGAATGAAATGTGAGGCTGTATGGGATAAAAAAATCAAATTGTGGAACGTGTTGCATAAGACATCTATGGTCTTTAATTCTGGACAACATCCATAGTAAGCATTTAATCAATTGAAATGGAAAAATTTATTACTAATCATTTTAGTTAGGTTGTTCCGACTTCAGCGTTTATCTCGAATCTCATTCCCTGACTGAGAGGTCGAGGTTTTGGTTGATAAGGCGAAGTTATGAAAAGGAAATAGTTAAAACAGTTCTAAAGGTATTTAACGTATTTTGCTTATAATTTTATATTTATTGTGCTTTTATTTATCAATTAAAGTTTTAATGTTTTGTTATACTGAGAACGATTTGTCTGCTGGAGGCAGAATATAAAACCAGCAGAATAATGTAAAAGCTGAGCAAATTACGGCAGATAAAGGCCATTAGTCCGTGGTCAAGAAGGTCGAGGAAATGGCCGTACATGTCAGGTTAGGCATAAGTCATACTAGGCTTACTGTCCTTATGTATTTGCTGACCGGAAAGAGACCGTGTTAGTCATTATGTACCGAAAGATTAAACATTGAGTATATTTTACAGTGCAGAAAACTAGATGCCTGCAGGATGAGCTATGGAGGTTATGCTGACCTAGGTGTGGCAGGCAATTTCAGTACCTCAGGGCTATAAGAGTTTTTAAATATATTTAATGTGTTGGTACGAATGTAAATTATTGACGTGAATGAAGGGATTATCCACCACCCCGAGGAATATCATGTACTCTAGGGAGAGTGTTGTCTGGATTAGAATAGAAAAGTAATCATGCCCTTTTTATGATATGCGCTCTGTGATCAGTATTGGTCTTCATTGTTTTCTACAGCTCCTGAATAAATTTAAGGCTTTTTACCAAAGCTTTTTTAAGGGTCCCCGTACATATCCTTCACGCACAGGCTTTTCCTCTTTCTCGAGTCGGCGATTTTGCACCGACTGAGGGCATATTCTGCTGACTCTTCTTCTTCTGTCCAGGCTTGTTTCTGCCATTCTGAGCCTGTATATATGATTATAGAGTCTGCAGTGACCGGGTTAGCCAACTATTAGTCCAGTTATTATTCTAGTCCTAATTCGTCCTAGGTTTATCAGTTCTGCAGTTAGTTTCTGTGATAGTTTGATAAAATTTGCATGTTTATGTCTGGGCTACATTTTCATTGAACAAAGGACTTATTTTTAATCCATTATCTGATGGATCCACATTATCAGTTTGGTATGTCACAAAAGAGATCAGTGCTAATAAGTGTCGTCGAATTTTCCTTAGCCAATTTATCAGCTGCTTGATTACCCTGGTTGGTACCCAGACAAGGGTAATTTTGTGGTTTTCCTCAAATGCAATCCCAAAAGACTGGACTTTACTTCTAATGCGGTAATTGACCTCAGTGTTGCCTGGCTCCATTCTTCTGGTAATGATTCTAGCATTTTATTCCTTGGCAAAGTGTTCAGTATCCAGTCTGCTTGAAAGGCAATGGCATATGGCCTAAGGGCTAAGTATTCTAGCCTTTGGTTTATTTCCATAAATATCAGCTCCTGACCCATACTTGGGATCCAACTACCTATACCATATAATGGTTATCTTCCTCTCCCAGTCTGCTCTACCAGGTATTCTAGTTTGACTTTTTTTTCTGAATTTGGGAATCATGGCAACATTCAGGCATAGAAACCTGTCTGCTTGGTTTAGTTGCACATTATGTCAGTAAGCTACTGGAGCCTGTCCCTGGATAAAGATGTGTAGTGTTCAGGACATCCAGAGGAGCAGCGGGGGTCGTTCTCATTGCCATGTTGTCTAGAAAGAGCGTGTAATTTAAATAGTGTGAACGGAGGTCTTAAGTCTAAATCCGCCTGAGGAATATCGAGTGCTCTTGAGGAGTAAATGTGACTACTCTTGTCTTGTTTGAGAGGTGAAAGGAAATCAGCATCGTCAGTACCATGACTCCGGACACCTGCTTCTGGCTATATGCAGGAATTTTTTTCGTGTGCTTTGTCTACTGGCCCTTCACTAGGGCATTGGGGGGGTCCTCTTCACACGAGTGTCAGAATCAGAAGTGAAATTCAAATAAAGAGGGGTGGAACGAGAGTTATTTTAATATAGATACATTTTAAAAATTTCTTTTGTATCAAACCTTCTTAAAAGTTTTTTTTTTTTTTTTTTCAGTTCCACGACAGCCATGGTTTTACTACCTGCTCGCTACATTGAACGTTTTCTGTCAAATCTGTCTACGAGTTTCTTCTAGCCACCTTATCCATTAGATAATTGTTAAATTGTAAAGAAAGCTTAATGGTTTATTCTTCGAACTAGGCAGCCTTATATTTTTTCTTTTTAAATGACTGATTTCTTATTTGTAAAGTTTTCTTTCGACACCACTCGTCACGAATCGTATTTATTTTCTCTCCTACACACCTTTTTTAAGTATTATTTATTCTTTGTTTTTATACGTTTAATTCCAATGTAAATTAAGAAAAGATCAATTTCACCAAAGCTAGTGGCATGTCTTACCTATTGCTAACAATCATAGCGCCTTTAGTATATAGATTTAAAAAATATATAAATAAATGAATATTGGAAAGCACTCAAGCACTTATTTTGAGATCCAAATGCTGTCAGAATAAATATCTAATCTCAACAAAAATTATATTATTATATAAAAATTGATATAAAATATATCATAAATTTCCCAGTATTAGATGTCGATATTTTGTAGGAAACACCCTGTAGGGTTTGAAAAAAAAATAGTCAATGCTTTTTTTTTCTATATATATGTAACCTTGTGTATGTGTATATATATCTAATATATATACATATGCCTACAAGTTTACAGGTAAAATAATAATAATAAAATTGTTTGCGTTTTTTCCAGTGTTTTGAGATGGAGGCTAATAGTGAAATCTAATTCAAAAGAAAAAAAAAAAAATACTGTGATTGCGTTATATAATGTATGCCTGTGCAAAAATTTTTTCCTCCACAATTTGACCTCCCTTCCAATTGACAGTAGATGTTCATAAAATGTATAGGAAAATAAATTTAGATTATATTTTTTATAAAAAACAAAAATAAATAAAATAATAAAAAACGGAATTTACATATTTTTAATTATTGTTTTTAATGTTTAGTTAAGGATTTAAAAGAAAGTTTGTAATTTTATCGAATTTATTTAGATCTCAACAAAAAAAAATCTCAAATAATGCTTCTTTCATAAATCGAACATTCTTGTTTATTAAGGGAAAAAAAATTTAAAATAATTTAACTGATATTTTTTTACATTTTTTCTCCCCTAAGGTACACTTAAGAGTATAAATGAGCAATTCTTCCAGTTTAGAAGGTAGGCGCGGCGTTCGTATCACACCATAACTCAGTTTCTTCTTTAAACGGGACCACGTTCACCAAAATATGGCAGAATAAATGCTTCAAGACTAGTGATTTCGAGAGCCCACGTATTAAAAAAAAAAAATTTACAGAACCTGTACATAATGAAAGTAGAAATCTTGGACATCCTTCATAAATAATATAAGGAAGGAATTCTCGTTGTTTGCATGATGAAACCAAATTATTTGTACTTACGTGTAATGTTATTTAAAAATAAAACTTGCAAAAAGTTGTAAAACGAAAATTTAATGGATGTAGTCAATAACATTGAACCCCCTTCCTTAGAAAGTCTCCAAAAAAAAAACCATTAAATTACAACTTGAACAGTCTAAAGTTTGGTTATTTAATCAACCGTCTTGGCCTCACGTTATTCTTGAATGGCAAGTTTATTTTTTATTATTTTTCTAGTGTTTAACCGCTCCTAACAACCTTCTTTTAAAGATGACCAAGAATCAGAATCGACCTTTATGGAGGAAGCGTCTGCTGATACTGAAAGAAGTCTAGGAAGACCAGCGTAGAACTGTTTACGCCCTGAGTCTTGAGTTGACGTCTTCAACACAAATTTGGCAGATCGTGGTTATTTATAACATTATCTAAGTAGGTTCTTAAAAATATGAGAATTTTTTTTTACAAAACTATTCTAAACGTGTAAACAAAACTGCAGAGTCTGCGGCAGATACCCACAAACCACGGGGTAGAGGTGACCCCAGGCAGGGAAAGAACAGAACCCTACCAATCTCAGTAACAAATATTTTTTGAATGTTTTAATGGTTGGCATCGACATCAAGCTAGAGATACTTTGTTCTCAGAGACAGAGGTAACCCTTAAGACTGATCAATATTGGGTCCCAGCAAAGGAAATAAATATTCTTTAATTGGATATGAAATTACATCTTGTCTATAAGATAAATATTTGCTAAGAAGGTAAAAAATTTTGTTTAATTACTGTTTAATATGGAATGTAGGTCATTAAGAGTTTAGCCGGAGGGTTCTGGCATAAAAGAATTACCTATGATGTTTGTAATAGGCAACAGGATGTATGGATTTAAGGAGGAAACTGGGTAAGCCAGGTGTGGCCAATTCAAAGCTTGGCTAGAAGGTTCTTTTCTTGAGGTCTGGAAGAGGATTTCAATTGTTTTTTTATTGCAAATAGCTTGTTTTGCTGTGGACACTGCAGAGCCTGTGCTTGTCTCAGGAAGAATTGACAGCGGAATATATGCCCTATTGATGCGAAGTTTGCGAGCTGAGATTCCTACTCCTGGGAAAGGAAAAGCCCTAGCCTGAAGGATATAAATCCTTGAAAAACCTTCGGGATTTGGTAAAATGGTGGGCTCTAGAAAACAATGGAGATTCGCAATAGACTAATACTGGTCACGGTGCACAGGTCGTACCAAATAACCCTGCAAAAACCGAATATTCAACAAAAGGTGATGCTTTGTGTTTGGTGGAGTAAAACATTGTACACGGCCAGACCATCACCTTAGAAATCTACTCAAGCCAACTACGAGTATGACTCGCCCTGGCAAAGAAAACCTGCTCTCGTGAACAGAAAACTGGAAACATGAACGACAAAGGAGGTGAAATGAAGCTTGGTTAGGAAGTCCTACCCATACTTGGTACTCTACAAACCTAGCCCCATCTGACTTTATTTTTTATTTTTATATATTAATTATTTTTTAATGTGTGGTGTTTAATGACCATAGTTAATGAATCTTATGATCTCCAAATAATCTTTTTTTTTTTTTTTAAGAAAATGGATAAGAAATTGGCAGGGTTTTTTAATATAATTTTATAATTGTCAAAATTTTGTACTTAAACTACTTCTTTTTATAAGTAGGATTTTGGTATTTTCATTTACATTTACACCTTCGTAATTTTAAAAATAAAAAAAGCTTCGTACTTGTACAAATTTTAGTCATTTTAGGTAAAGTACATTATCATGATTGGTCTATAAATCCTTCTGCTACTCGCAGTATGTCTGAAATTAAAATATATATAAGATATAAATAGGAAATTGTTAATTTTATTCTCTTTATACCTTCCATTGTTGTGACTAATTTATCCGCTTTGGCCATAGTTCCTTCTAATTCATAAAATGATTCTTCGTTTAGGTAATTTATTTTGCTTAAAGCGCATTGTAGTTGTAAGCAGCTGTTAAGAAATTAATAAATTATTAAGTATTATTAAAAACTGAATAATCAGAAGAAAAAAGAAAAAAAACATACTGTGCGTTGGATGTCCGCATGACATCTTCAGTGTACATCAAGAGAAAAGGGAAAAAACCTTTGAGCATTTTTGATGGGCAGTTTTCAAGCGAACATCTTTCGATTATCTCGCAGCATCTCTGCAGGCCCTTGTTGAGTTCGTTGAACACTTCCCTGTGGGATAGAGAATACTTTATTATCCTCGTTTCATTGAGTTTCATCGAACTTACAAGCTCCTGTGTATCGCTACCAAGTCCTGTTCGATAAGCCGTACAATTTTATTCTCCAGCGAGTTGATCGTCGTCGGAAACTTGATCGTGAAGGCTTTTTCACTGAATCTGCAGATTTAAATAATACAATTTATACATTTTTTTCTTTTTTTGTCAGTGTGAAAAACATGCTCACAATGAAGCTTATTTTAATTATTGCTTAAGTAGGATTATCAACATTGAATATAAATCATTATATTGCAAAGCTATAAATTTATAATTTGAACTTTATATTAGATTAGAGAAGGAGTCGGCCTCTTTACGACCTGCACACTGCGAACAGTATCAGTCTAATATATCTCCATTGTTGCCTAGAGTTCCTCAAATCTTAAGGCTTTTTCCCCGATGTCTGCTATGGTTCTAATGCCATCCAGAACGACTGGACTTTACTACCAATGCAATAATTGCCCTCAGTGCAGCCTGTCAAATTTGATCCTTATTGATCATCTTGTGGTTGCCATCCTCACTGGGTTGGTCCGTAAGTTGTGTTTCGGTATTCCGCCATCTTCGGCGATGGGTCTGCCAAGCCAAAATGATGGATAACAACCAAATTACAGATTCATCACACATACCGAAGGAGGAAATCTCATAATTCAATTATATTTAAGCTCAGTTGGTCTGACAAATAAAATATACCAAGGATGAGAGTTCATACAAGCCTTGGAGGTTGACAAACGGATATTTACTTTTGGAATGTGGAAGAATTTTGCTTGAGCACAGCAGCCTTGAGTATTTGGGGCCTCCTGTTCCGATTATTCGAGGAAATGGGGTTGTTCTATTGTATATAATATTAATTGTTGTGTATACTTAGTTTGTACTGAGAGTGAATGTATTTATTAGTGTGATTGTGTGTTGTGAGAGGGCTGATGGCAGAATATCGAGTATCCCATCGACCCTCAATCAGTTTAGTTGTTTAACATGTGTAAAGGTTGATGGAGGAATATTGAGTACTCCATCACCCTACTCGAATGAATGTAAATAGGAGTGAGTGTATTTAAGACTTAACATGAGTACAAATGGGTTTACAACTGCATGCGTTTGGTGCTGAATTGACCTAGCTGTTAACAACCCCCCCCCCCCCCGAGCTCAACCTCGGAGGGTGGACGGATAAGACTGAGGTCTGCCCCTGGACTGCCAACACCCGGGGTGGGTCATCAAGTCACAATAGCAAAAGCTGGAATTGCCAGGGGACTACAAGAAGCCAATAGGCTAAGCATGTTTGTACAAATATATACAAACACAAATCCAAATGATATAAGCCTTGGGTACTAAGGCACTAAGGGCAACACTGCATCCATCATCGATAATAAACTCCAGGATAAAGGTGAGGAAGATTATTTAGTTTTCTTTCCTGTTTGAAATCATATTATTTGTGGTGTGAATATAAATTTATTGGACATTAATTGTTTATCGGTGGACTAGCTTTTACCCGTGACTTCGTCCAACCAGGACTCTGTTTTAATATACTTTTCTAATGCGATGCGGAGTGCTACTATGGCTTTTTAATATAGTGTCTTGTTTCTCAAATTCTTTCTTCAGTTCACTTCGGTCTATACATGGTAAAAATTGTCCAAGTGATCCCCTTAGGGATGGAATTTCAAAAAATCCTTTCTTAGGGGCTATCCATTTCACACTATCAAAATTTCAGCCCTTTAGATCCAGCAATTTGGTCTGAGCGTTGTCTACCATTCAGTCACAGAAAAGTTTTATATGTATATCCAAATGAATTTACAAAACATAGCTTTTTATCACTGATCATTAAGGCAACTAGGGACAGAGATCAAAGGTCTCATAGATAATGTTTTTTTTTTTAATCAAGGTTTTTATTCTAATGATTTTAAAAATTTGTGTGCCTAGTCTTACATTACAGATCATTTTCCATAAAAGGGAAGCCAGTTTTTGTTAATGAGAAAAATAAGCAAATTAATCTGAGGGCTAATTTTGAAATTTTGTTGTAAATTGTTTGAGATTGAAAGTTGGTGTGGTGTTTTGAGATAACTCAAATATTTTTCTTTCCAAAAAGATGGATTCTTCCAAAGGTAGATTGGGGATGAGGCCAGGAAGACAGAAACAATATTTATTTTCTTGTCGAGCTTTCGGAAGAATATATCGCCTTCATCAGGTCTTCGAAAAAATCGTTTTACTATATGAACAGGTACTTGTGTGGATAACGGAGAGCTGGTAGAACCCCTAACTGTAGCCGGAGAGCCGCATCCTCACATGTACTTGTTCATATAGTAAAATGATTTTTTCGAAGGCCTGATGAAGGCGATATATTCTGCCAAAAGCTTGACAAGAAAATAAATGTTTCTGTCTTCCTGGCCTCATCTCCAATCTACCTTTTGGAAAGAAAAATATTTAACTGTGAAGGTTGATCAATCACTAAAGCAAATATAAATAACTCAGTTGATTCAGTAATGAACAAATTTTATAAATTGTTAAATTATTTCTCCACTCATAGTCTTTTGGAAGTTATTAAAAGAAGAAGAAGAAAAAAGTCAAGTTGAAAAGTCATATAATGTATTTTTCAAGTCCATTGCAAATAGGGATAAAATGTACAGAAAATCGCTAAAAAAATCCTTTAATTAATAAGTTTCTAAGCGCTATAGAAATATGTTAACATTATAATTAAAAAGGCCAAATCCAAGTTCTGCAAGTACCTAATTCAAAAAATGATTTTAAAAATATCTGGAATATAATTAAGGAAGCAACTAATAGTAAAGTTCCAACGGGTCTGACTTGTAGAAAAGGTGATATCCTCACCTGATTAAGAATAGACCATGCGAGGGACAGTTTTGGCCTGAAATATGTGTCCAGGCTTCTATAAAAAGGTCGCTTGATATGTCCCATTAACTTGAAGAGTGCAATTCCTTGGCTCCAAATAGAGAGCGCATAGAAATGCCACCCAAATTGTACTTGAGCACAGCAGCTACTATCTGGGTCACCTTTCCGATTTTTGGAGAAAAAAGGGTTGTTTTATTGTCTATAGTATGATTATTTTGTGTCCCTAGTGTGTGTGTGGAGAGTGAATGTATTTATTAGCATGAATATGTAAAGAATATTAAGTACCCCAGTGTTTTTTTTCTTTCACGGGTCAAATTGGCAAAAACCTGAATTCCTGATGATAATATCAAGAAACTGCATTTTTCCTCAAGGCAAAAAGAAACAGGCCAGCTGCATTTTCTTCTTGATGCATATTTTCCTTGTTGTAGTCTTCAGGAGTGAGAAGCAGTCTGAATTGACCTTACCAATCATCCCTCCATATTACAATTCCGCCGATGTTTTTCCGGTCTAAGTTCAAGTCCAAGTTAAACTGCATGATATGCCTTTTTATTTCCTTAAACCAATTCATCTCTTTATCTACCAATCTGAAGTCTATAGTAGTTAGTAGGGACAAAATTAGGATTATGTAATTGAAGTGAAGAGAAAAATCGGTAGGAGACCTGTCTCAGCATAAAGGAAAGCTGTGTATAACTTTATTTATTTTTTTAATAAAAATTTTGTTTACACTACTTTTTTCCTCTTCTAAGAAATCTGAATATCAGTTTGTTTTTCTTGAAACAAGCTTATGAAAATAAGAGGAACTAATAAATTGAGAATCTTATTCTATCAAAATGGTTAGCTATACAGATTGCTTCAAAACCGGCTCAATCCAAAATTTAAATTTAAATTTTTGGCAACCTTGGGAAATAATATAATATTGAAAATTATGCCTGAAATATTTGGCGACCTTCCTTCTTCCCAACAAAAATTAATTTAAAAAAAAAGCATCCTGTAAAAATGCTTCAAAATGGTTTGATCCGCGTTTGAAATTTATGCTTGAACTTATGCTATACATTATTATACTGGCAGAGATTTGGCAGGCTTGACCACTTGGCGATTTCAAACACGACAGAATTAATTATATATTTAAAAAAAAAAATAAAAAAAAAAAGTAAAAACAGAACCCACACCTTCTCACTACCCTGTAGTTTCTGCAGGTGGCTTTGGCCGTCTGCATTCTTGGTATGACGACGTCCACCTGGTGTTTCCATCCTCGGACGTACTTTTTTCCCAAATTGCAAAATTCCTTCACGCTCGCTTCGAAATTGCTGACGCTCGCCATTTGAAATACTGCAATATTTATAATTTAATTAAACGATTAAAATAAAATGAGAGGAGAAAAGATCGACGGCGAACCTTTACAGGGCCAGGATTGGAGCACCACCAGCAGAAGCAACCTTCTATTAATTCCTTCTGGTTAAATCCTGCAAGGTTACGGTGTGCCGTTAGGGCTTCACTTCTTACCTTATTTATAGGTCAGAGTACAATTTCAACATTGGCTTAATATGTTTATTTATACTTAAAAGATGTTATCACATAACTCTAGATTCTGTCTCATTTAATTCGATGAACGAATCTACAATATCATGTAAGACAAAATAATAAATTTAACTACCAGAACAGATTTTTAATAATAAACTGCATTTCAGATTAAAAATAACAAAGTAGAGCTAACGAATAATAATTGCGTAAGAGAAGTGTAAAACAGGTCTGGTTCATTAAGGAATGAAAGCATAGACACATCGGATCTTGCGATGTATACTTTCGATCGTTTTATAGCATGGTTTGTCTTCGTCCTATCGAAACCTTCAGATTTCGGCTTAAAAACCCCCCAATGAAGATGGCGAGAAGCTGGAACCTAACAGATCCAAACATCATAGGCAGACCAACATCGTAAACTGAACGGATCAAAAGGACTCCACTGTTATAACTCGGCCTTAACATCACATCTGTTAAAGATAATTTCATGGTTTTCATTTTGTTCGTTCATACCCAGGCCCTGAAGATGACCCAAATAAAGGTCGAAACGTTGGCGAAAAAAAATGAAAAAGGTGTTATTCTAAACTACCTCAGTCTTGATCGCTCCTCACGACTTAACAAACTATAATAACAATAAACTTGATAACTGCCAGAATTTTAATTTTAAACTGCATTTCAGATTAAAAATAACAAAGTAGAGCTAACCGAATAATAATTCGTAAGAGAAGTGAAAAACATGTCTGGTTCATTAAGGAATGAATACATAGACACATCAGATCTTGCGATATATACTTTCGGTCGTTTTATAGCATAGTTTGTCTCATTTCATCGTATCGAAACCTTCAGATTTCGGCTTAAAAACCCTCTGCTGAAGATGGCAAGAAGCTGGAACCTAACAACAGCATAGTCAGATCAAGATTGCAAACTGTACGTGATTAGATCAAAAGGACTCTACTGTATTATAACTCGGTTTTAATGTCGCATCTGTTGAAGATAATTTCAGGGTCTTAGAAGAAAACAGGTCTTATCTTATCTAACATTACTACTTTTTTGTTTTAGAGTAAGCTTTGTTTACAATATCAAAGATCAACTCGTTATATAGTTATTTATTTTATAATTACATATCAGATCAGTTCAAAAATGATATGTGTCTTGGGTGGTGGTGTCGTCGGCCTCACGACTGCATTGGAACTGCAGCAGGCCGGGTTGAAAGTGACCCTGATAGCTGACAAATTCGGCAGGGAAACAACCAGCGATGGCGCTGCGGGTTTATTTCGCCCGGGGAACACCTTTTCAGCAGCGAATCCGAAATTGACAAAGTGAGTCATATTGAACAACTTAATTTTAAAAAAAAGAAAGAAAAAAGTTAAAATATTACCGATAGAGAGTGGATTGAAACATCTTACTACCATTACACTCGGTTGCTCGACGCCGGATGCGGCATACGAGAGATCTCCGGCTACATGTTCTCAAACTTGGACACTTCTATTGTCAAGGTCAATTTGATTGTTAATATTCCATTTAACCCTTCAAAAAAAAATTTATATTCATTTGCAGAATGATCTTTTAGAAGGATTGCTTCCTGAATATAGAGAGGTGACGGAGGAAGAATTGAAAATCTGCCCAGGAGACTGGAAATATGGTTCTTACTACAAAACTCTCGTTATTGAGTGTCGTCTGTATCTTCCTTGGCTCACAAAAAGGTTTTTTTTTAGTTTGTTTGGTCCAACAAAGACACATTTTTGAATATCCTTGCCCTTATTATTATTGTAACACCTGTAGGGAGATTTTTATTAAAAAATAAGGTCTGTGGTGGCCAAGTGGTTAAGGCATCCGATTCATGTAATTAAGCATGTAATTTTATTTGAGAATAATTTAGAAAAAGTGTTGTAAAGTGGTTCAGACACCCAACTGGTAGTTCATCTAGGAGAAGAGAGAGGAAGGTCTCTTACTTATTCTACATATTACAACAGATTAGAATATTTGTAGATTTGAAGAAAATGGAGGTCATATTATTAAAAAGTTTGTAAAAAGCTTTGATGAATTACAAGGATATGAAGTTGTCGTAAATTGCACGGGCCTTGGTGCCAAGGTTCTCTGCAACGACCGAAATATGGTAGCACTCAGTGGTCAGGTGTTCAAAGTAAGAAGTTCAGTGTATTAAAAAATATATTTAATTAATTAATTATAAATGGATTCAGGTTGAAGCTCCTTGGCTTGATAATTTCTTCTACGCTGAATACGACACCTACATCATCCCGGGCATATCTCATGTCACGTTAGGCGGGACGAGAAAATATGATTCGTGGAGCAGAGATGTGTGCAAGTATACCTCAATGGAAATTTGGGAAAAGTGTACCACCCTGGTTCCTCGTCTGAAGGAATCAAAGGTTCTATACGAATGGGTCGGCCTGAGACCACACAGGGAGGGTGGAGTCAGGGTCGAAAAGGAAATACTTGAAAATGGGATTAAGGTTTTTTTATTTTTTAATAAAAACTTAAACAGAAAACTTATTTTTTCATTTGTTTTTAAGGTTGTCCACAATTATGGCCATGGTGGGTACGGTGTAACATCAGCTCCAGGTTCTTCAAAGTATGCTGTTAAACTTGTCCACGAGTTTCTTTCTTCTAGCATCTAGATAATCTCTCAGTTGTGAATAAACCTTGGATTGTTTATTACTCAAATGAAATTTTGATATTCTAAAATTTAAAAATTAAATAAGATAAGAGATGGGGGACCACAGTAGCCAAGTCGTTAGCGTGAGATCAGCTCGTAGACCCCACAATTCCCATCATTATTGCCTCTGGCCCTTTTTTCACAATAGCCTTCCCCCCCCCCCAATACGAATACGCATAATATATTGTCTGGCATTGGCTAATATGCATAAGCCCAATAAAAATATAAAAAAATAAAGACTTGAATTATCTCCTTTTCTTTCTGGCTTCATTTTCTTTTCCTAGTTTCTTTTTATCTTCTTTCTTATGTGGTTTCATCATTCGATTGAATAATTAATATTTTAAAGAATATATTATTGTCATTATTGTTTTGTACGTTTCATTACTATTATTTTAATTTCATTTTATTTATAAAACTGGATTTTAATTTTAATTTCTAAGATATGTTCATGTAAAAGGTTTACAGCCCTATCTGTATCTTTAAAGTAAATAAGTTTTAATTTTTAAGAATGCGTGTCCGTATTATTTATTATCATTGTATGCCTGAAATGTTTTGAGCTCATTCATGTACACATTTCTTTATCAATTTTAACGTTGCTTTGTCAATGTTGTCATTGTGCAATGCTACAATGATGTCACAGTTGTAAATCAATCTTGAATTGTTTATTACTCAAATGAAATTTTGTTAGTGGGTGACATTCTGCAAGTCAGAGAACATGTTAAACTGATGTTTTTTTTATTTTGTAATTTTACAGATTTTGAATTTATATATTTTTCATTGGTTATTTCATTTTCTCCTCTACACATTATGCAAAAAAAAAATAATAATAACAAGTAAAATTGGTGTAACTTAACGCCATGCCACATCCTCTTCAAGAAGCTAAATTATCTGACAATTCGACAGGAGCCTTGTTCATAGTGAGGATGATGATGAGGAGGAACATGGGTTTTATATTTCCCAAGCACTTAAATTTCTTGCTCTTTTCCTACTTCTGTAGTTTAATTGACTTCAACTGTCTTTTAAGAAGTAACATTAATTTTGTATGTATGTGTAGTTTTGTGCCCAAAATTTTTTTCTGGGATCTGACTTGCTCTGTCAAATTTCAGTTTGACATAAAGCAGTATGAACAAAATGATTGGATCCTTGAAGTTGTATCAGTGTATTAGTTATAAAGCAATAAGGGGCACTAAGATAGGTGGGCAGTCATTAACACAGAACAACAGTAGTGGGCCTAATATGCTACCTTGAGGCACTTTCATATTATTATTTTTGCACAGTTCCATTGCCAACTTTAATATTCAATGTGGATGGTCTTCCCAGGAGATATGAGCTAAACCATTGTGATTGCAAATACATAATTAATATTTTATTATTATCAGTATTGTTATATAGCTTTTATTATATAGTTCAGCATCCTTGTTAGCTTGTGGTTCGTGGCATCCTAGGTTTTAAAAATGATGAATTATCTCCTTTTCTTTTCCTTGTCTCCTTTTATTTTCTTTCTCTATCTGCTTTCCTTTCTTCATGTGGTTTCATGACTCAATGATAAATAATTGATATTTTAATATTGTCATTGTTATGCATGTTTTATTATATAGTTCAGCTTCCTCGCTGGCTTATTTCAGGTCCACAGAATCTGAGTTTTTAAAAGTGACTTGAATTATCTCCTTTTATTTTCCTTGTTTCCTTTTATCTTTTCCCTCTATCTGCTTGTCTTTCTTAATGTAGTTTCATCATTTGATTATGAATAATAAATATTTCAAAGAATATATTATTGTCATTATTGTTTTTATGTTTCATTATTATCATTATTGCTTTATTTTTACATTATTATTATCACGTCATTAATGTGTGGTGTTTAGTGACCATTAGTTAATGATGATTTTCATTATTATTTCATCTCACGATCTCCAAATAATTATAATTATTGCTATTACTTGAGTTTTATTATGTTTATAACACTGAATTTACTTATATGTACATGCAAGAGGTTTAAAGCCCCATGCACCATTAAAATAAATAAGCCCCCAATTTTAAGAATGGATGTCTGTATTGATTTATTACTGTTGTAAACGTGAAATGTTTTGACCGCATCTATGTAAATGTTACTTTGTCAATGTTGCCATTTTAATGTTGCTTTGCCAATGTTGTCATTTTAATGTTACTTTGTCAATGTTGTCATTTTAATGTTGCTTTGTCAATGTTGTCATGTGCAATGCTCTAATGACGTCATAATGTTTGTCTCCAGTAATGACGTAGTGAGTTGGCCATAACTATTTCTACAACCTCCCTGTCTAATTTCTGGTATATTAACCGATTGAAGTTGTAAATTCTCAATATAAATTAACATAGGAAGGAATATTTTGAGTAAAATGCTTGCAGAATTTTCCAGCTAGGCTTATCCGATCCCAGGAGGGCATGGTGTGCGCATCCCGACTCATTTGTTAGGGTTCTTTTCCTCCTAAAATCCAGCTACCTCATGGGCCTAGTTCTAACTACAAACAGACCGTCACACTGATCTTTTAAGATGGAAAACGGTTTATTGTCCTTTCCAGTCGTCTTGGATTCGACGTTTTTCAAAAACGAAGCCGGCTTCGTCACCCTGGAAAGGGCGGAAGACTTTCAAGAACTCGTCCTGACTGATTCAGACCAACTTCATCTTAAGACTTTAGCAGGTAAATTATTTTATTATTTTAAAACTTTTTCACCACCGCGACCTAATCTAGGACCTCTACAGTTAAGAATATACTGTGGAAAGTGTTCTTTTTCCAATAAAACTTAGTTTTTAACTCGGTACTTTGCACTTCTTTGCTAGTTAGTTTACATTAGGCCTGTGCCTCTCATTCACAAAGAATATGTTGCGATGTCTCTGTTTTCTCTTTCAGAACCAGCATGTTCTTGTCTTTGCTATAGAGGCCTATAATTTGCTTGAAATACCTGCTCAGAGAGAGGATTTAAAAAAAAAAGATTTATAGTGCTTTTCAGAGCTTGAATTTTTATTTTATCACGCAACGTGGCATGTACTTGTCTTATGTTCAAAAAGAACTTACCCTAAATGACAATTGCCAACACCAGCTTGCACATCCTTCAGCCTTTTCTAGTTTCTCCTTTTCACTGCTTCCTATTTCCTCGATATTGGATTCATCTGAGTGGCAGTGTCTTTATGGCTCTGGCTGTGAGTCCTTTCATTAAGTCTGGCTGATTGCCTGAGACCCTGACTAACTGAGTCTGCCCTTTCTGCTGCATCCTAGACACTTGATAGTCAACTCATCCTGTTTTGGCCTGCTATTTGACTTTTGTGTCTAAACTGGGTTTTCTCACTCACGCTCTGCTTGGCTGACTGAGCCCAGGATTGAGTTCGTCCTCCTTCTGCTGTGTCCTAGACACTTGACAGTCTACTCGTCCTGCAACAGGCCACTCTTTGACAATTAACTCTATTCACTTCATTTCGGCCCTTGACAGTCGGTGTTTCTCGACCGGGTGTCTTCACATTGCCTATTGTCCTTTGCTTGCTTCCCAGACACTGGGTCCTGCTGATTGCTTGAGTCCCTCCCTAACTGATTGAGTGAGACTCAATTACTGATTTTGGATGGCTGAGCCTGTTCTAATGTCCTTCCTAATTGTTTTGACAATCAACTCTATTCGAATTGTCTCGGTCCTTGACAGTGATGTGTCTTCACTCAACCTCCATCCGGCTGACTGCATATCCAGCTGAACGTTCTTTCTGCTGCTTCTGAGACATATTGTTGACTCTTCTTGATCAGGCTGCTCTTCTAGCCAATACCAATTTCCACATCCTAAAGCGTTTTCTAGTTTCTCCTTTCCTAAACAGTCAGCATTTGACTCCTCTTGCATAGGACTACTCCTTGGCTACTGATCTGCCTACGTTGTCTCTCTGGCTGACAGTGGCCTTTGACTAAGTCCTCCTGACTCTAGCTGGCTGAGTTTGTTGTCCTTTCCATTGCATTCTAGACATTGACAGTTGTCATGTCCTGCATTGAGATGCTCTTCAATAGTCGACTATATTAGAATCATCTCACCCCTTGGCATGGAAGGGTTGGTTATGACCACCCACCCAACTCCTCGTGATTCTTAGGGAGCTTCCATTGTGCACCTCTGGTCCTTTATTTGGTGAAGGATGTACAATGTATATCTGGCTTATGTGGTATGGTATGGTACCATACCATGGTTTATGTGATCCCAAACTTACGGTGACCCTCATCTTGATGAGCCCTGTATGCAACATGCAACAACTTCCCTCAATAATTGTCATCATATAATAGATCCACAATGCTTCACAGTTGATGTATATTCAAGTAAAGTTTAGGGAATGCGGTGGCCAAGTCGTTAGGGAGTTCGACTTGTATTTGCCAGTTCTGAGTTCGAATCTTGGACAGCCCAGTTACTTAGTTAATTTTTTTCCACCTTGTCAGCGACTCAATTAGATGTTAAGCTCTCCTGTATGATAGCATTTCATACTTTTTACTTACAAATAAAATTTATGTTGCAGATACTATAGTACCTGATTATGAATCATCACCTGCAACAGTGCAAAATGAAATTTTAGAAACTGTAGAAAATAATGTAAGTTTTATATAAGTAAATTTAATGTTGAACTTTTTTTTTACTCTGTTCCAATTTCTAACGTTTTGTGAATTATTATTTTTAAGGATCCCATAGGAAATAGTTGTAACAATGAGTCGAATGTCTTTTCTGACTTTGTCGAGACCCAGTTTCAAGTTTTTGTGACATACAAATGTCGACTTTGCCCTTTTAAAACATCTGTGAGGAAAAATGTCTCGAAACACTTGGAAAAGTGTCACTTTGCAAATGATAGAAGAGAGGAGGAAAAGAAGCCCAAAGCTGAAGAACAGCACGTCGAAAGGTTGGCTTACATGTGTGGAAATTGCTCTGAAGCGTTTTCTACTTATAGCAGATGCAGAGTCCATATGGCTTCGGTAAGTTTTCTACTTGCATGCCTTTGATCCGATCAAAACGGCTAATTGATCATTGGAATGTTTTCAGGTGCATAAAATAATGATGGGTTCAAGTGTAGCATTGGAAGGGGGTGATTTGCAAGATGGAATAGATTACATATCAAGGGAAGGGAATAACGGTAATGTTAACATTATTAGTAAAAAGGGTAGCAAAGTAGCAAATTCTGAACCGCAGATTAAATATCGGTGTCCTGTGGTCGGTTGCCTTGTGAAGTTTACCTCGAAGGAAAACGTTGAAAAACACAAGAGCTGTCACAACATGGAGATGCCGAGGACGTTCGTTTGCCCAGAATGTAGCGAGACTTTCAAACAATGGCCGCTCTGCCTCAACCACCTCTGGAAAGTCCATCAACTGGATGTGGGGATGTTTTCGTGCGAATCGTGCGATTACAAAAGCGCTTTTAGAAAGAAACTTCACCAGCATGAGAAAATACATAAAGACGGGAAAGATTTTGTCTGCAGTGTATGCCTCATGACTTTCAAACAGAAGAACCAATTGAGGAACCATCAGGCCTATCATCTCAAAGGAAGTTCAAGCGATCTCGCTCCAAATTGGTAAATAATTAAAAAAATATTAAATAAAAAAAAATATTAATAAAAAATTTTAGGGTGAAAAAACGAGAATGCGATCAATGCAAAAAGATGTTTTCCGATGCGAAAGCATTAAAGAAGCATGTCCAAGCTGTCCATTCTAAACTAAGACCATACATATGCCAAGTCTGCGGTCATTGTTCAGCAACAAAAGATATGCTTAGAATGCATTTGAGGCAGCATAGCGGAGAAAAACCTCATACTTGCAACGTGTGCTCATTTTCTACAGGTAATAACAAACGAAAATAATGTCTTCTATTGTATTATCGACACTTCTAACCATTCTTTGTGAACTATTGTTAAATTAACATTTTTAATATGCTAGTTTAATAGAAAAAACATTTTACTAATAAATACATCGAACCATTAAAAAAACATAGAGAAAAACTATTTGACCACACACATTAACCAAAACTTCAAAGGTAGAAATATCCTTTAAGCAACGCTGACGCTGTATGTCCCTATTGTTGAACAATGTGAGGACATTTAGCATATGCGCTTGTTTACTTTTATGGAAGGAAGAGGTTCAAAAATACAAAAATCCAGATAGATAATACACACCTTTATTTTTGCACTCCAGATCATCTAAATATATTTATATGGAATAAAAAATAATGTAAGTTAGCCACAGCTCTAACTCTGGGGATGAGCTCATTTACAAAAAGTACTTACACCGAAACAAGTCATCAGCACCAGTTTCCACATCCTTCAATGTTTTCTAGTTTCTCCTTCCTGCTGCTTAATAGGCAGTCAACTCTATTTGACTTACCTTTGACTGACAGTGCCTCCTGATATTCGCTGACTGAGCCCTCTGATCTGGCAGACTGAATCCGTCCCCTTTTCTGCTGTGTCCTAGACAATTGATAATTGACTCCACTTGCATTGGGCCGCTTTTCAACAGTTGACTCATCTTGGCTTCCTCCTGCCTTATTTCATTTTTCTGGATGACTGACTGCCCTTTGAATGACTTTGTCCTCTGACTATGGCCGACTGACTGAGTCTGTCCTCTTTTCCGCTGCGTCCTAGACAATTGATAGTTGACTCCACTTGCATTGGGCCGCTTTTCAACAGTCAACTCATCTCAGCCCTTGACTGCCTTCTTTCTAGCTGACTGTCTGAGCCCTCTGATTGGCTGAGTCCATCCTCCTTTCTGCTGCATCCTAGACGACTATTCGATTCATCTCAGACCCCGACATTCATCCGAGTGACTTCACTCACCTTTCGTCGTGCTGTATCTCTTTTCAACTGATAATTTTTGCTTTTCCAATTCTCCAAGGGCCATTTGACAGTGCTCTTGATTCATAAATCCTCTACATCCTTTATACTGCAGATATTCCCACTAAACCTACCACCCTACTTGCATCCTTCGCCGATGATACAGCTGTACTATCCTCCAATTCCGATCCTGCAGTTGCTTCGGAAGATCTGCAGGAACATATCTCATGTATAGCAGATTGGTGTAGACAATGGAAAATGCAGATAAACGAAAGCAAGAGCATCCATGTCACATTTACACTCCGAAGCAAACCTCCTCTCACGATATACTACAACATCGTTCCTATCCCCAAATCCGACTGCGTTTGCTACCTTGGGTTCCACCTAGACTCACGACTAACGTGGAATCAACCTACACGACTGACACGATAAAACCTAAACAGATGGTATGGTCTACTGCACAGACTTATAGGACGACAGTCTAAACTATCGACAAAAAACAAACTACAATTTACAAAACACTACTACAACCGATTTGGACTTACGGAATAGAACTGTGGGGAACCGCTAAACCTTCCAATATCCAACGTCTCCAATCCTTTCAATCTAAAGTCCTCCTGATCTTCACTCGGCCATTCTCAAGATCCAAAAAGATCTAAACTCCATCAATGAATGGGCCCATAAAAATTCCTTAGTCCTCAACCTGTCCAAATCCACCGCCATAATTATCGGGTCCAAGCAACTCCTCAATTCCCTCCCCAGCATCCCACCTCTCATGCTAAATAACCACCCCATCCCCTTCTGCTCCTCGGTTAAAAACCTAGGAGTAGTCTTTGATCAAAACCTTTCCTGGCATTCTCACATTTCCCAAATTTCTCGCCATTCCATCGCCTCCCTCTGCCTGTTCCGTCGGTCCTGGCTTCTCTTACCTTTCTCCACCCGCAAACTCCTTGTATCTTCCCTTATACTTCCCTTCTTCGATTACAGCTGTGTGGCATACGGTGGTCTCTCGGAGAGGGAGAACGCGCGATTGAAACGTATTTTCAATTGTTGCGTAAGATTTGTGCACGGCACCCCTCGGGGATCCCGGGTGTCGGGGTTGTATTTCCAACTTTCCTGGCTATTCCCCTCCTTCCGTGCCCAGTATTTCCTAGGTTGCTTTCTTTTCCAGTCCATCCACACTCGTCGTCCTCCTTATATCATCCAATCCCTCCAATTCAACTCCTCACATCACACCCGTAAAACCCGCTCATCCCCAATCGACCTTATCCTTCCGCAACATACAACCCATACCTTCGAAAGATCCTTTCTGATCCGAGCCCCTAAACTCTGGAACTCCCTTCCCCTATCTATTCGTCACGCTGCCTCCTTCTCCTCATTTAAATCCCATCTTTATAATCACCTCCTCTCCCTCCAAGCAGAGACCTCACGATAACATTTATTATTTTTGTCTTTGTTTAATATACCTCGTAATTTTCTCTTCTGGCCCGCCTTACTGGCATACATTGTGCCACGATTTCTATCTATCTTTTTTTTTCCTTTTTTTTTAAATTATGTGACTTCATAGAAGGTTATTATATTTTGTCTCATGTAAATTATTCTAAGGGGACACCAGTCCCAGAATAAAGTTATTTTTCTTCTTCTTCTTCTTCTAAAGTCCTCAGATCCATTGTAAATGCTCCTTATTATGTCTCAAATGCTACCCTCCACAACGACCTTCAAATTCCTTATATCCAAAAATTTATTCCCCAAAAATTTACCAAGTTTCTCAAAAAACTCTCCCACCATCCAAATAGTCTTGCCCAAGCCCTGTCCGATAGAACCCATTGCTACAACCCCATAAGGCGCCTTAAGAGGAAATGGCCCCGCGACCTCCTTTCCGAGTAAACTGTAAAAAAACAAAAAAAAAACAAAGTGAAGAGGGAGGATAACATTGATTTTCTCCCCTCAATATAAATAGTTGCACATAAGTTCATGTATCCGCAAATTACATTTGTAAATAATAATTACAGATTGTAATAAAAATAAATAATAATAAAAAAATATATTAAATGTGATTTATATATTAGGAATGATGTGTCAAACATTGAAAAAAAAATTAATGTTGATCATTTTCATTTGTTGCACAGGTGACCATAACACCCTTAGGCGGCACATGTTGAGACACATGGGTTTAAAACCGTACCAATGCCCACACTGCTCTTTCTCGGCCATACAGAGCTCGAGTTTGAAAACTCATCTTTCAAAACAGCATCCAGCCCAGCCAGGGATATTCTACTGTACGAAATGTCCTTTTTCGACAATATCCGCGAAAAATTTTCAATACCACACACACGAAAACGGTATTTATATCAATTTTCCCTTTGTTGGTTTTATTTTTACAGATTTTATTCGATTACAGATAAGCCAGAAGATGAAAACAACAAAGACTACATGGCTCAGTCGATTTTATTTCAGTCCAAAGACATAGATCCATCCGTAAATGATGGTTTGCATCCCAATTGGACATATTACATGTAATAAAAATTGTATATTATAAATAAAAAATGTTTACAGGCCAAGGGGATTTGATTGCAATAAATTTCTCCAGCATCTTAACAACAGAGGACGAAGAATCAAATATTTTTGAGAACGATACAATCGATTTTGGAGGCATAACTATACCAGCGGAGCCGAATCTTGTCAGCCTGTACATACCCGAGGTGGCCAATAACGAAATGTCAATTATAAATGACAGCCTCAGCTAGAAGTAAAAAAAAGTCAGAAAATTTGTAAGATGTCGAACAAAAATAGAAAAAAAAGGCTTTTTTGTCGTTTCAACCTTTTATCCGAGGTTAATAGCGTCTTCCTATATTATCAGAAGACTGCACTGTTGCATTTCTAGTACTAAATTATTTATATTGATGTTGACTGTGACATGTACAATGTATTCTCGTTTTTAAGTCCATCCTTTTCTTTAAGGAATATTTGTAGTATTATCTCTGCCAAGTTGATAAACTAAAAAGAGTAACACGAGGTACAAAACCTATTTTATTTGTTGTAATTGAATAAAATTATTTGGGAACTTTTACTTTTTTCTTTGTGTTTTTTTTTTTTTTTTTTTTTTTTTTTTTTTTTTTTTTTTTTTTTTTTTTTTTTTTTTTTTTTGTAGATTTGATTACATAGAGCTTGAAGCAGTTGAAATAACCCTGCAGCAGTTGTACGCCTCATTTTTTTGTTTTTTTGTTTTAAAGTGTGCTCTACATTTTCAGACGGGGAACGACAAGTGGCTTTTTTTTAAACCTCGTGGGAGGTGTCGCCAGTTTCCTTTCTCAAGTGCCATCTCCCTTGTCAAACTGGCCCTCTCTAAGGCTTCACTGAAGTGTATGCCCAGGGATCGTATCTGAGTTCTAAGTCTCATGTACCTATTTTATAAATATTACCTAGCTATAGTGTAACTATATTACAAGTTTTTTAAGGTCATAGGTCATGCCCATCAAGGGGTTGCCAAGAAACTTGGCACTTTACAGGATTCAGGCAGCAGAATCTTCAATTCACAGCCAGGGCTGGCCTTGAAACGCATTAAGCTAAGTCCCGGTGGGGGCTGAGATGGACCATTGCCAAGAAAGCCATCTGTAAAGCCCACAAAGTGCCACAATATAGAAAAAAGAAGGAAACAGTGTGTATAGCTATTATTTTAATTTTATTTAATTTTTTCATTTTTTTTTTGTTTTGCGTTTTACTTCATGGGTCTGAAAATCTGTATAACAAATCTGAAAAACTCTTGGTGTACACCGACAACAATCATATGAATCTGATGGCGATTTCGTTCTTTTCATAGATGATAGTGTCAACAAAGCAAAATAAATAATACAAGGCAATCATGACACTGTATTGGAGCAATCTGCCAGTGCAGATGAAGTAGATGAAGACATGCATGGAAAAAATTCCTACACTGATTATTCTTTTTTCATCTAAAAAAAGGTGGATAAGCAGTTCTCACTGGCATTACCCATAAAACTCGAGCAATAAAAATCACAACTTTACGGTCCGACCAAAGTTAAGCAGATTTATGTACCAAGTTTAATATATGTATTTTTTTTTTATCACTGCGGAGATGATTAATGATTACAGAAAAAACTACAATGGTGACAATAAAGCAAAAGTGTGTTAGAGATGAAAAACCTCCAAAGAAAAAATGGAATAATTGCTGTTTGAGGTACTAACATTTAGGCAATACTTAAATTTAAAATTTAATTTAATTAGTATTGTGTTTTTATTATTAATAGTTACAATTCTTTACGCTTGCTTACTTTATTTTTATGGCGAATAATCAAATGTTTATTTCTTCATATATCACAAAAAATTTAATTACACACAATTAAACAGTACACTTCTTAATAATTAGCTTGAAGTGTGATGACTGCCTGCAACTTACTTAAGTTTCCGCTATTTCCATTACGCCATTGCCGGCGGGGGCGGGGGGGTAGAGGAATAGCAAAAAAAAAGTTGGGGAAGGGCTTTTCCACTCATAGTGAGTGGATGGACATGACTCAAGGTGGCCAGGGACTGGTCTCCACTGATGAAGGCCATCTTTATGACGACTCTAGTGGGCCAGTGTGCAGAGGAGGCATTAGGCTGACAGCTGGCAGTCACCGTTATTTTGACAAAGCTTCCACTTTCCAAACAGCATCACATGCATATTTTAGCAGGGGCTCAACAGGATTCAACCAGACTCAACGAGTTAGTGTAATAAAAGGGTCTTTCTTACAGCACCTGCTCATCTAGATGGATGATGTAAACAAGTTTAGCTTTATGAAAATGATATGATTAGGGTCCAACTGCTGGTTTTAAATTTGGTCTTATACAGGGAATAAGGGCTCAATTGAACAGTTACAGTTTAAGAAGTGGTATTCCTGGATTATAATCAGTTTTAATGCTCAGCATAATTTATGCAGGGGAATAACGTTGGGATGGGTCATGGATCTTGAAGGCGATGGATTGTTGGATGGCATATGTGACCTTGCTGAGGTGTATCCTGGGTCAGCATTCTTACATTCTGGTCCTGTACACGTGCAATGCTGAGTGCTGGCAGATACCACTTTGACAATAAGTCTCCGCCTTCAACTCTAATCAGATTGGACGAGTTAACACGGTCCATTTTACATCTGAAATCTATGTTGTTAACAGGTTTAGCTTTATCAGACCCGATATTGATGATTAGGTTCCGACTGCTGGTTGTAAATTTAAACGGTGAATACTGTGGCACTTATCTCTATTCTGTGCCCACGGATATCTCCCTCAAAGAGATAATTATAACGGAATAAATGCTTAATTGAACAGTTGTTCCAGTTTTATCGCTCGGCGTACTTTATGTGGGGGAGGAATGTCAGGCTAGGTCATAGATCTTGAAGCCCTTAGACGGTGCAGATCCCTGATCAGATGGTAAGACCTTAAATGAACCAGCTATTTATAAAGCCATGTATGAGGGCATCAACTACTAGCTGGCTAGAATAAGGGTGTAGTGCAACAATGCAATTAAATAAATAATATACAACACATTAAGTTACATATTTATTATAAATTATGTATAATACTTAGTATAAAGACAAAAATTAATAAAATAAATTAAACTTCAAGAGATCAGAACACAAAAAGAAAACACTTGGATATTATAAAAATAACTGTTAGGTTTCTAAGGAATGATAGAACAAGGTTTTACAATTTACAGGCAATCTCTTTTAAACTTAAAATTATAAACAAAAAGATTTATTTAAAATTTTTGGTACAAATGTGTAAAATATATTGGAGTATTAAAAATTAAGCTATTTTAAGTATTAAGAGTCAATTTTGGATTAGATTACAAATGGGATAAAAGCATATTAAATAAAAATTTGCGTTTTCAATAGCAGATCAGAAAATGGCTGTATGATCCCTGTAGTCGCAAAGTAAAATATAAGCCCAAAAGCTATGGATATGGGTAAGGCTGGTAGGGCCTTTTTGAAAATGGCCAAGAGCAAGAGTGTGAGGGTCAATCCGATCAGAATCGCGACGAAACAGGCGAGCGTCGTGTTCCAGTCACCATAGGAAGAAGCTTTCCCGACGAGTACGCTGTAGAATATGAAGTCGCCTAGGCCGAGTTTGACGCCCCTTTCGACGTCCTCCTCCTCCACTCTGTACTGGGGGACGACCACGCGCACATCCGGGAGGTTCTGCTGATTCTGCCTGCGCGCCTCGTTCCTCGAGTCGATTCCGTCTGCCCAGGACCTCGTAAAGCCGCCTTCTTCGGGAGAAGCCATGACCATGCTGTAAATGACTGTTGACGAGTAGATCAAAGCGGGAAATATCTGTTCATTACGTTCCTGTGCGGTTTCGACCAAGATTCTCAACGGGCCTTTGGGCGTGAGTACAGCAAAAAGGTCCCAAAGAGATATCACCGTCAATACGGCCCAAGTAGTCCATTCTGGCAGATACTTTATGAATATAAGGGCCATCAAAGCAGCTAAAAATATCAAGTAGGCCTGTTGCACTCTCAGAGGGCCCTTCCAGTGTATGCATATCATTCCCATCGTACCAAAATTCAGTATGATAAAACCCAAAGTTATGAAGTCAAATGCGATGTTGTTCGCCCTCAGGATTTCAATGAGATAGACGTATGAAAAAATCGAAAGAAGTATGAGTGAAGAGACTATAAGCCAGCCGTGGATGATCTTATAGCATCGGTACTTGTACAGCGATATGAGTATGACGGTCATGACAGCGACGACTGCCAACAGGATGATGGCATTCGCAAGAGCGTTCCAAATTTTGGTGCCTGTCTCTTGAGAGCTTTCATGGAACGGTGTGTATATGAGATATATGTCTTTTTTCTTGTAGAACCCGACGTTGTTCATTGTAGCTACGACGACCAATAAGCAGAGCGATACGGGCACGTAGAGCTTAATAACGTGTTCGGCCCCGTATTTAAGCTCTTCTTCGTCGTCCCATTCCCTCTGATCCGGGGCGACTCGCTGTTCCTGGTTTTCGACCGGGTTGTTCCTTTCCCGGTCCCTGTCACTGGTTTGACCGTGGTCACCATCTACCCGGCCTATGCCGCCTCTGTCCGGCATTACTTCGTTCACCAAAACATCCATTAAAGACGTATACTCATTAATGGATTCTTCGAAATCACTATCTGACATTCAACTTCATCAACAGTATTTATAAGAGACGCATAAAAAATCAAAACACTTATTACAACAAATACGAATGAAAAACAACAAAAATCTTTCACTTTTCTTTGAGATAAACCTACGAATTGGTAACTTATAACCATGAAGGAGGTTTCAACTCAAGTGACACTTGTCATGACGCTGGTGTGACACTGTATCGTCAACTTTGGGAAAATAAATATGATTTTTTAGTTGAGAAATACTTGTTTTACATCAGTAAGATCAATTTTTCATTATTTATATCTAATATGTGAAAAATAAATCTTAATTTTTGCTTTTTTGGCCATCAAAAGGGTGGAGTATATTACTAAGAAATTGGGTTTATAATATAACATACATATTTTACAGAATTAATCCAATTTACAAAATGTTTAGATATAGAAATATACAATGCATAAAGCAAAACAGAAAACAAAGGAAAAAATTAGCATTAAACTATATAAAGTATAGAAAACTCATACAAAAACTTCTCTATACAGGAGTACCAATCAATAAGCGGGAGAACAGAAAACAGCTTTTGGCGGTATGACGAAAGGTCCTGCGACTTCGAAGTGATGTCAATGCGGCAGTGTTCACAGACACTCTAAAAATGCTGAACCATAGATTCAATTGGAGACCAACGGATGGATTGATGAACAATGAATACAGTGTACCAAAACAACCGGTTTCTAAACCATGACTTGAGGTATTTCATTAACCATTTAAAAGCCAAATAACAGAACTCTGGACTGAATAAATTAAGTTTGTGAAAAATTCCCTTCTGCCAAAAACTATTGTGATAACTAACCTAAGATAATCTCTCTTAATGTGAATGGTCTTTATTCCAAAATATCTAGTGTTTTTGTTGTTGTGACAGGATAATTTTGGTTGTTTTGAATTTTTTTTTTTTTTAGTAATTACCACTTACGGTGTAGGAATGCTGTTAAATACTGAAGATTGGGTTGTCTAATGAGTGGTTGTTTCATATGAGGTAAAAAAGGGTTTTGGTGAACATTCAATTTTGTACCTTTTCAGGTCTCAACTTTATTTCGCTTTGGACAGGGCAGAGTAGATTATATATTCTGAAGTCTCAATATTTGGAAACTGCACCCTATGTAAGGAGTAAAAAAAGGTTTCTCTGACAGTCTGACTATAATAGTGTTTTTTCTGGGGTACGACAGGGACATCAACTAAGCCCAGTTCTATTTCCCCCTCTATTTCAGTTCAGACAAGGCAGAGTACATTATATATTTTGCCAAATTTTTAAGTCTCTCTGTTTTCAGAAACGGCATCCTGTGAATTTAGTCAAAAAGATGTCTCAGTCTATTTTTGTGTTCTTTCCAGGGTAAGACAGTAATTCAACTAAGCCCAATTCTATTTTCTTCCCCTACCTGGATGACTATGATGAGAAACAATATTTGGTTCTTCCTAATATGTATCATATTTTTTTTTTACAATTCAGAGATTCAGAGAAATCTAGGTGAACATTTATCCTGTTACCTTTTATGACAGACACATAAAAAAGTCTTTTCTATTTTGCTTGTGTTACTTGGGAAGTTATTTGAGTATTCTGGTTCATTCAAATCTTGTCAAAAGTCTTGACCTAATCTCCTTCATCTATTGTTTTGTTTTTATTTAATATTTTTTTATGAGGTTTAGTTTGCTATTATTTGAACCAGTAACAGTTCTTGGCAATGTTAAGACTGAGACGGTCTTCAAGGAAATTTGAGACTGCCTACAAAAACTTAATTGTCAATCTGTGGATTTAAGGTTGTTTTACCCTTGTTAACTTTAAAATAGGTCGAAAGCACGGCAATAGCAACTAAATTTGCTTTCTTCTTCAAGGCCATACTTTAATCCAGTGTTCGTAAGTGAAAAAGTAGTTGATACTTCTAATACTCAAAATAAAAATAAGCATGGCACTGCCCTAATTGCACAAGATGCAGCCTCGTGGTCCGCAAGTCAAGCTGTCCTATGATGCTTGCTGTATACCCCTAAATACGCCTGTCAAGTGTTGGGGTTTCGAAGAATGATTGTTTTCAATGCCATTTGCCAACATTAACCCCAAATTACATGCTATATTTAGAAACTGACCACTTATAAAAAAGAAGCATATTGACGGTGCTAGCAGTTCTGATTTTGAATTATGGCTGAGCCCCAACTTTTTAATTGATAACGGTATGAAAAATGTACTGCAAATTTGTGTTTGACCCCTCGTCCAAGAAGATAAGGTAGTTGGATGTTAAGCGCTCCTGTATTAGAGGAATTACTTTGCATAGTTTTATTCAGTTGGCTCTAGGACTTTTTACACGTTTTCATAGTTTAGCGTAATGTTTTGAATAGGAATAAAAAATATATCCAAGCGAATTTACCATTTTTTTAATCATATAGATAAAAGTAGGCTGTCAAACACAAGACAAAGGTACATACAATGTAAACTAAACTTTATAACTACTTCTATGAAAAATAAAAAATCAAACATTTTATATTTATGATTATTTAAAAAAAAGATACATCAAGTTCCAAGTCCGACAGACTATTAGTTCATTTGAGAAAAATTATTAAATAAAATGGAATTAGCTCCTACCTAGGATGAAAAATATTTCTTTTCTCTCCAAATGATTGAATGCATCTGGTATAAAGGAAACATATTATTCCAAATAATATTTCCTAGATTTAATTTAAAAAAACAAGGTTGTAATTTTTTTTTAATTTGATAATTTTGTTGTTTTGGTAGGTTTAAAGTCAAAAAATATTTTTTCTACTCCATAATATGCGTAATAATCTTTACTCTTTAATATTGCCTTAGATTCATTATCAATATCAAACACACATGACATCCCGTTTTTCGAGGGTTTAACTGACCAAACGTGCCACATGGCACAATTTAGCTGCGGGTTTTGCCTGCTGAACCTTGCTAAGAGTTCATTCGGATATACTTGATGCGAATCACCCGGTATGAACAATTTGGCCTTATGCATGCCATATTTTGGAATCAGTTTCAAGCTGGTTCCTAAGGTTTTATCATTAGACAGGCATTTTTGAAGCCAATCGACCGACTTGCTGTTTTTAGCGAACATCATAAGCTTTCCCGTGTCCCATGTAACGTCATAAAAAACGGGGACATTGTCTAATTTAGTTATGTCCAGATTGTTCAACGAATGTGCTACTAACTTTGTGAATTTGGCTGCCTTTTTCTTCCCGATGATTTGAAATTCGGAATTGATATTATGAATGGCTATCTCCACTTCGTTGTCATTATCCCTATTGTCTTTATCGAGGATGTATGAATCCGGCACAATGTCACCATAAAAAATAGTCTCTGGAGGAATGCACGGAGGCCCTTTCTTCTTCTTGACTAATCCTTTGCTTTTGGGAATTTTATTTGTCAGAAATTGTTGTTGCTCTTTTCTACCAAAAGGTTGAACCTTGTTTGCAGTTGTATCAGCAAAAACGCTTCCTCCGACAATTCCCATTCCAGTACTCGAGCCAACTGTCAAAAAACAAAATCCAGTTAGATTAATTAAAACTAAACTTAAAATTTTATTTATTTTTTAAATGGTCAAGCAGACCACGAAAACTGATGAATTAAAATTTTATGTTGAATTTATATTCTCGCAAAGGTTTTACCTTTTTCATTGTCCTAAAAAATGAAATTAAATAAGCAAAAAAAAAAAAAATCTGCTAGAAGCATATGAACAAAATAAATTACAGAATTTTAATACAAATTGGTTTTAACCCATTAAGGATGGTCAGTGCTCTTCATTCTGCAAGTGAGGTACTGCAAGCATGATAATGTGCTCATCAGGTACCAAAAGCGTGATATTGTGCTAATCCCTAACTCTTCGCAGGTACTGAGAGGTGGTATCGCACTCATCTCTATTTCTTTGCAGATACTGAGAGGGTCTTACACACTCGTCCCTACCACGCAGGTACTGAGAGCATGATATCGCTCGCTGATCTTTTCGTTGTTATATTCAAGTGTGTAGAAGCACTGTGCTGTTTATGGTATTTTTACAGAGAGTGGAAAATTTGGAAAACGTGTCATTGTTTAATGTTTTAAACAACACAATGCTTCTTTGAATTCAGTCCAAAACTGAAGAGACTTGAGCGTGATACCATGCTTGCAGCACTTGCATAGAGGTCGGGTATGCTCAGTATCTCTCTGCGGGAAGCAAGAACACATCACCACACTTTTATTTAAACCCGTAACAATAAGAAATAATAAAAATTTAAGTAGACTTACTTAAAGTCACAATGCTATCTCTTGTGGCATTCAGCAAGTTGTTCACATCATTTTCATTCGCCAACATTGTGGGGGCATTCAACCATGGAGGCTCGCCGTATGTTAGCATACTTGTCTTTGCAAATATTTCACTCCTCCCATTAGCGCCTTCACCTCTTTCTATCATAGGCACAAGTGGACCTGGGTTCTGCATTTTGCCATCTGCTGAATCGTCTATGCCGCGCATGTTTTGACTTCCTGGTCGACCCATTATGTCGCATTTATTCTTTCTATCACGAATCACCCTGGCAGTTCTCTCGGGACTTACGTTCTGCATTTTGCCCTGGGTTGTGTACCTCTCAGGGCTTCTGTTCCATCCTTGTGGTCTGTCTTGGTTTCTTCTTTCTTCTCTCTCAGCAACTCTCTTTTGGTAAAATCTTTCTTTTTCCTGCTTACCGAATCTTTCTTGACTTCCAACCCGTTCAATACGTGGTTTATTAGGACTTCTTATGGCATCTCTATATTCTCTGGCACCTCCTGTATCTTCTTCAAATCTGCTTTTTCTATTCATTTTATCTCTACCAAATCTACCAGACATGTGCATTTCCTGTCTATCTACTCTATTTCTTCTATCAAATCTTTTTTGATTTCTATTCATCTCTTCTCTGTCAAATCTAACAGGACTTCTACTGGTTCTATTTCCTCTATCGAATCTATCTTGATTTCTATTAATTTCTTTTCTTTCAAATCTAACAGGACTTCTACTGGCTCTATTTCCTCTTTCAAATCTATCTTGATTTCTATTAATTTCTTCTCTTTCAAATCTAACAGGACTTCTACCAAATCTATTTCCCCTATCGAATCTGTCTTGATTTCTATTCATCTCTTCTCTTTCAAATCTGACAGGACTTCTACCGAATCTATTTCCCCTATCGAATCTATCTTGATTTCTATTCATCTCTTCTCTTTCAAATCTGACAGGACTTCTACCGAGTCTATTTCCTCTATCGAATCTATCTGGATTTCTATTCATCTCTTCTCTGTCAAATCTGACAGGACTTCTACCCGATCTACTTCCTCTAGTGAATCTTTCCCGACTTCTGTCTCCATATCTTTCAGGGCTTCTTGGTCTCTTCAATCCTCTGTCAAATCTGTCTTGATCCATATCGTAGCTATCGGGACTTGTTCTAATTAGGACACGCCTTTTAAAATCGTCTTGTTTTCTACTAGTCGCATATTCGTCAGATCTCGTTCCGATTCCGTAGAATCCGTCTTGACCGACAGTTCTCTCTCTATCAAATCTTTGAGGGCTTCTCGATCTATCTCGACGCGCATCAAATCTAACAGGACTTTCATCATCGAATCTGTCTCGTTTTCTATCGTCTATATAGAATTTATCGGGGATTATTGTCCTGTCCCATGCAGGTTCTCTGTCCCTATCTTGATCCGAATACACTTCTCTTTCAAAACGTTCAGGACTTAAATTCCTTTCAAATCTGTCTTGTTTTCTCGATTTGGCTTCTTGTCTGCCATAATCCAACGGGCTTCTTGTGTTTGCAACAAAATTTTCTTCACACATCCTTCTTCTTTTTTGAGCGTTGAATTCGTCGATATGATCTGACTGGCTTCTGAAATTATGTGGGTAATCTCGACTATTTTCCAAATGCTCTCCTGAAAAACTGCTCTCGCTGATCAACCTTAAATCGACGTCTTGGTACCTTCTCATATCATGGTCGGTCATAGAACCTCCTTCCTCTCCGGTATGGCGACTCAGTTGATCTATTTGCTGCGAAAATCCAGGTTGATTAACGGCATGATTCCCTTGATAATGCGCGTTAACTACTCCTATGGTTGGAGTAGGGAGTAAAGCCATTTTGGCCTGACTTTGTGGAAGAGCACTTTCTTGACCTCTATACGACTTGCTGCCAGACACGCCTTGATCTATAAATCGCTTCCGGATCACTTCGTCACAGGTGGCATTTTGGCCTCCTAAGTTAACGTATTCATTGCCCTGGGGGTTGTTAGTACCCAAGGCGTAAGACCGGCCGATTCCAATAGTATTCTGGCGAAAAGAAGAATCGGAAAAACGATCTACATTCTTATATCTGGGTTGTAGATTCTCAGTGCTCTGTCCCCGATTAAAATTAGGAAATGCATTTCCCAAATATCCTCCTGCACCATCAAAGGCCGATTCGCGACTCGTTAAAGCGTTGTTTTGATAATTTAAATCAGCCTCGGAAAATAAAGATCTGACATTTTGACCCTGGGAGAACTGAGGCTGACTGGCGATAAGAGTTTGCAGATTTTGATATATGAATTTATCCATTTGGATTGACGAGTCGACCACTCGATTCAAGTATTTAAATCACTTCTTACTTGACTATTTTCCGTGGCTTCTGCAGTATTGTAAAATAAAAGAATTCCTCCACTTTTATCATTTGGTTGTCTTCAAACAAAACTATTTTATACCTTTTACACCGGAGAACGGACAAGCTAGCTAGCATCACCCAATACCCATGACCATTGGATGTTACAACTGTTACAAGTTATGTTATGATAATCGATCGATGACAGCGCTCAGTTTAGCATTTGGACTAAAATAACTTCATAAGTTCTTATGTCATTTCATAAAAATTGTACTAGTGAAAATGTTTTTTTAAATTAAACAAAAAAGTTATATCTTATATGGATAGAATTAAACTGAACTGCTCAAAAATGAATATGGATATTGCCAATTTTGTAGTTTTTTACTTTCCCTAGCATTTTTTATTTTATTTTTCTTATAAAGTGCATTAAAATTGATTAAAAATTAGATTTTTACTGAAGGAAAATTTAATTAAGGTATTTTGAAAAATAACAAAATAAAAGGTTTTAATTCCATAATTTTGTTTATTGGACACAATAATGTTTTTAAATAATTAATCCTCTGTTAGCTTAAACCTGTAGGACACCTGTAAGGCATACTGTTAATAATGTCATTAATGTTGTAAGGAAATTTACTCATAGACGTTGCAACACTGCAATAGTTGTTGCAGGTCAACGGGTTGCAGATATCTGCAACGCATCCCTCATGTGCTCAATGGGATTGAGATCTGGAGACAATGGGAGAAGAGACAGATGGGAAATTGCCAGGTTTTATTAACATTGATGAACAACTCTGCCTCTATGAGGTCTGGCATTGTCATCCAAAAATCGAAAATCCCTGCCAATAAGATCCCTGGTTTGAGGAATGTATTCCTCAATTTCTTGGACTTAATGGACTGTGGTGAGGTTGCCTTCAACAATATGAAGTCCAGTTCGTCCTCCAGTGTAAATCCCAGACCAGACCATTACACCCCCTCATTCAAACTGCGCTGAAGGGATCACAAACTGGATCATTGTACGCATCCCCTGTTCTCAGTAGACTATTCTGCACCTGCTATCACCATACAGACAGAAACATAGACTCATCAATAAACAACAGCATTCCAATTGGTACTCTCTTCTAGGCACTCACTGCACCATACTCTCCTGAGTTGCTGGTGGCAGGGTGTTGCTGTAGGTTTTCTCAAAAGGGCATACGATGTGAGGCTAACTTCCCTTAAACAATTTATAATAAAGGACATGCCAAAACGACTTGTACTTCAATTTGGATCTGGTGGGCACTATGGACAGGGTTCCGTCTTGCAGCGATGATAATATTTCTGTTCTCCCTTAGCGTCGTAATGCGCTGAGATCCACTACCAGACCTCCTATTGGACTTCCAGTCTCAGAATCCGGCTAAAGCCCGGGAGACCTCACTCTGAGAAACGCCAACTGCCACTGCGATATCCACCTGATAACTCATTCTTACAATGAAGTTGCAAACTTCTGGTTCCATATGTCTTTCCATGCTTAAAGAGAATACAACTGAATTAAAATGGAGAAAAGATGATCAAAGGTTTACAAGAACAAAAAAGAAAATTTTTACAAAATGAGTAATCTTCATGTTTACTATTCTTAAATAAATCCATTATTAAAAATGAGGATTAACATTTATTCGTTTTTGGTTTGTATTTTATATTTTTTTAACCAACTAACAAGAATATATCGGTTAATTTAATTAAAATTAATACAATAAGAACAAATTACAAATATTCCTATTCATTTTTTAGCAGTTTACATTTCAGAAGTAGCTATTACAGGGAGCCTAAGGCAAGATACAACACAATATAAGTACATACTTAAAGGCACCTTCTAAATTAAATTTACAATGACATTTTATTTACAAAAGTAATTTTCTAATAAGTAATAACAATTCAGTTGTAGGTATCTGGACACAGGTCTGGAGAAAGAAAAGGCAAACTGTTCATTAAAGCTGGGATGTCCCAAACTTCAGACTTAACCATAGCAATCTGGCCCCTGGATCATAAATATGCAATAAAAACAATATAAAAAAAAAATTTGCAGGCTGGATCGGCAGAGAAGTTTTCATGTATTAAGTGGCCCATCGAAGGACTGACAGAAGAAAGGTCATCCTCACTCGATTAAGGATAGGCCATGCTAGGTTGACACATGGAGACTTACTTGTAGGCCAAAGCTTGTGTATCTAGCCTGTAGGAAAGGTTGTTTGCTATGTCCCACTTAATTTAAGGATGCAACTCTTTGGCTCCATATAGAGAGCAAGTAGGAATGCCACCTGGTATGAGGATTCTGATTGAGTACAACAGCTAGTCCCTTGTTCTGATTCTTGGAGCAAACAGGGTTGTTTTATTGTATACAGTACTGATACTGTATTGTTTTGCGTTACCTAGAGTGTATGATAGTTACATACTTAAAGAATCTTCTAAATTAAATTTAACATGACATTATTTACAAAAGTGTCTAAATTTATTATTTAACAAATAATAACAATACCAGTATTTCATGTAGGATCCTGGATACAAAAGTCTGGAGGGTAAAGAAAAGGCAGACAAAGGCCCCATCTCCAGACTTATCCACTAATATCCAGCCCTACTGATAAAAATGCAATTAAAAACATGATAGAAAGAAAGTTGGTGGGCCGGTCGGCAGAGAAGATTTCATCTCACCCAATTAAGGAGAGGCCTTGCGAGGTGTTTAAGTTCCAAGATTTGGATGTCCCAGCCTTAGCCACTTTGTCCACCTTTTCATTACTTTCAGATCTGTGGGTCTAGGTAGACAATAACCACTGTTTTGCTGAGATGCTTCAGTTCATAGTATTTCTCCAAGAGCACAACTAGATTAAGATAGAGAATGACATAGAGAGCTGTCAATAAATATTTCATTTTCTATTATTATTATTATTATTATATTATCAGCTTAATTTTAACATCAGAATTGTAATGTCTGCTTTTCTCCCTCCAATATTTGTTTACGTTATAAGTCGAAGCTGCCTTACTCAGCTTATTTTTTCTCAGCCGGTGTTTCCTTAGTCATCATGGAAACTCTTAAAAGTATAGGATATATAACTTCAACCGGTCGACTATGGAATGATTTCTTTGCTGTGGAAAGTTTCGTCTATGTTAATTTCTACATATCCTGGCTACTAATATTCACACATCAGTTTAACGAGAGGCCGTTGGAATGTGTGGAAGCGAATAAAGTGATGGATTCGTACTGCCTGTACATTGGAACTTTCACAATCGACAAACAGGGTAATGTGGAGAAGCACGATTACATCCAATGGATTCTGATATTCATGGTGCTTAATTGCCTCGTGAGTTGCATGCCGTTCCTTCTCCGTGGATACAACAGGAGAGAAATCGTTTCTAAATACATCGCCTTCATCGATTTCAATTGCTGGAAGAATGAAGCTTTGATAAAAGCTGTGCAGAACGAAGAACACATCCAATGTAATAAAGAGCAAGAGTGTTTGGACAAAATGTATGAATTGGCTAAAATATTAAACAGGAGAATATCCTATGGTGTCAACACAATATGGGCAAGGCGTTTAATAATTTCATTTGAAGTTACACACATGTTCTTTTTTATTGCTCGTGTTTGCTATACGCATTTATTAATCAATTATAAATACCTTAGCCTTGGGTTCAACTGGATAAACCATGATGAAATATTTCCTAAGAGGACGAAGTGCAATTTTCACACCATCGGACCAAGTGGAACATTACAGCTCCATGACGTCCTTTGCATTTTAAGCATAAATTTTTACTTTCAGTGGTTTCTCATTATAAATTGGTATATAGATGTGACCATGGCTATTTTTTACATCATGATTGTGGTCGTACGTATAATGCAATTTTTGTTTCATAAAAGTGTTTTATTTAACAGAACTCTCGGACCTCAGGTGTATCATCATCATCTTCCGTGGGTTACAAACTTGGATTACTCTGATTGGCTTCTTATGAAAGAACTGTCAAAAAATATGAACAGTGAAATCTTTTCCATACTAATTTCATTCATGGTACAATCCAGCTACTTGTCGCAAAATCAGATAACTAAAAAGCAAAAATAAACAAATATTAAAAAAAACAATAACACTACAAAGTTCCAATGAGGAATATTGCAAATAATTTGTTCAAATAAAATGATTTTATGTAGATTTCAATGTTTTTTGTCTAACCACTAATTTTACCATGATTATACACACAAAACTAGTTAAATTAAGTTTTTTCTCTTTTGTCTGTTTTAGTTCAGTTCTGAGATGGAAGATTCTGTTTATTTTTTCTATCTCAAGAATAGGCTCAGGGCCTATACTTATAGTCTTGCAGATCCTCCTCTGGCCAGAGTGTCTGTTTTTTTCGTTACAAAATTCCTTTGTGTCCTAGTACCCAAGATATCACCAGGTTGTGCTTCCATGAGGTTTTGAAGATTTTTGACTAATTTTAATCCAATGTTTTTCACATAATAATGCTTTAATTTTAATTTAGTTTGCTTATGAGGTCATCCAACTAAATACCACAGCCGAGGTGAAAGTATTCCTTGTGGACATCCAGTATCTTCAGATCCCGATGAATATTTTTATTCCGTACAAAGGGCATTAACCATATTGACAAAGATCCACAATTGTATGCCATAGTTCGAGATTAGTTGATTTGGTTAAAAAGAAGGATTTCATTTTGGATTGAAAAAGGGAAGTTTTGACACATTCTAATTGATTTTTTTTTAAATGCGTCCTCTCCATTTTGGTTTAGAATCTAGTAGATCTAGATACTTAATTGTACTTGTGTTTTTTCTGTTTGTAAAATTAAACTATTTTAATTTTCCAATATTTTACGATTCAGATCCTCCAAGGGCCTCTTATTAACCTGGCTCTCATTGAGCAAAAAAACTTGTATAAATGCAAAAATTATTTAAAATTATATTTGTCTATTAAGAAAAGAGGTTTTAAGAAGTTTCAAGTAAAAACAAAAATGTTTGGTAATAAACTTAAATATATAGTTAACAATGTTTACTGATTAAGTTGAAGAGAACCTAGAGTTCCAAACATAGCATAAATTTGCCTTCTATTGGCATTTATGTCTTGAAAAACTGCTGTAAGCCTGAAATTATTATTTGTATAATATGGTAGGACTTAAAATATACCCCTGTAAAACTCCTATAACTATTGATATTGAAATAGAAATCGATTAGTCTAGTTTGCGGGATTAAAAAGGTTGATAATTTTTTAACATGAATTTGTAATAAAAATTAAAAAAAGTTCTATTTTCTGACTATGGCTTTCTTATGCTCATTGGTCATTATTGTATTTGATGTGTTTCATAATTAGATCTTCCATGTCGAAATGTCTCTGATAGAAGAGAACTGAGAATTTGTAATTGTCTAGACATAGTACTGATTCGCCGTCAATTTGCCTTTTTATCTTGAAAAACTTCTGTAAATCTGAAATTATTATTTATATAATATGACAGGACTTAAAACATCCCCCTGTAAAACTCCTGTAACTATTGATATTGAATAAGGAATCTATTCGTCTAGTTTGCATGACTAAAAGGCTGACAATTTTTTCAACATGAATTTTTAATTAAACTAAAAAACTTTCTATTTCCTGAATATGGCTTTCTTATGTTCATTGGTAATTATTGTATTTTAACAATTTTATAGAAGGATCTTCCATGTCCAAGTGTCTCTGATTGAAGAGAACGTAGAGTATATAATGGTCTAAACATAGCACTAATTTGCCTTCTGTTGTCATTTATATCTTGCAAAACTGCCGTAAGCCTGAAATTATTATTTATGTAATATGACAGGACCTAAAATATCCCCCTGTAAAACTCCTATATCTTTTGAGATTGAATAGTAATGGCTAATCTGAATATGTTATACTCATTGGTAATTACTGTATTTTATCCGTTTTTTAAAATGTCCAAATGCCATCAATGATACCATCAACGTTTTTCTTCTGATGCAAGAAGTATCATTAATGATTAAATCTTGTCATCGTTGATTATTTTCGGTGGTAATCGATGGATCGAATCGAATCGTTTTCTTCTTTCGCTTAATCTTTACCTTATCCTATTTAAAAGGTTACAAAGTACAAACTTTGTCCAAAACTTCAAATGTACTGTACATACAATAATGAGCAAAGAAGTTTACACTTATTACGCCCTAATTGGAGGTGCTTGCGGCTCATTGGGAAGCACACTTGGAAAGTTTGCCGGAAAAACTGTAACTCATAAATAATTATTTGTCTATAATTATTTTAAATTTTTATATCTCTGTACCGCTGCAGTTCAGTTCAAGAGTACACAGACGAGCATGATGGAAAAAAAACTATGATATGAGTTTTTTTTAAAAATCGTATTATTTTTAGGATTATTGGATAATCACCATAGGGCTTCTCGTTGCGATGGTGTTGGTCAATACGTTTGGAGTTATGCTGTTTACAAAAAGCCTTAATTTTGCCCCTTCTTCGCTGCAGCCTGTGCTCTTTTCGACAGCGTCTTCATACATTTCATCTGTAAACATGTCAATTTTTAATAAGAAAAGTGTTCCATTAATGGGATTTTTGTAGGCGATACTTGGCATCGTGTTCTTCGACGAGGCCCTGTCTTATCTCTGGTGCCTTGGGACGTTGCTCGTCATCCTAGGCATGCTATTTTTACACCTCAACAAGGAGAAAGTCGATTAGGCCATGTACAAAAACCAATTCTTCTGTGATAAAGAGTATTATGTTATGTATTATGTTATCAAATGTCTTATTCCTATATATATTTAAAACAGAAATAGAAAACTTTAATTGATATTGATATTGATTTTATTTGATCGATACTCAACCTTGTTCGTACCTTTGAAGGAAAAATATGTCAACTTGACATTATGTTTTTCTTGGGGTACACCGACATTGTTTGTACAAATAGAAGAATGTGCAGGATAAGGTAGTAAACGGAAGGTAGAATAAAATGACCTTAAATAAATTGAATATGTCATCTGTGTGAAGTTATTTGCAGACTGAGATTCCTACTCCAGGGAGAGGAAAACTCCAAGCCTGAAGTCCTGACAAAGTTTAGGACCTGATAAAAAGCCTTAAGCTTAACAAAAAGCCCCAGGTAATAATGGAGATTGCACAAAAGATACTGCCGATGGTGCATAAGGTAATGAAGATGCTCCTTTTAACCTTAGCCTTATAAACAACATTAGACATGAAATTCTCTTTGGGCCTGGCACCTTTTGCAGACGGTTCACTTGTACGAATTGCTGCAATCTATAGAATAATGTTATCTGCCGAAAAATTATAATTACAGAGAGATTGAATTTTCTTTTCTAGGCATAGACTAGATCACAGAATTGGTACGAAGGTCATTCAATAATCAAACAGGGCTTTGGTTTGATGTTGAACAAAAAATGCTTAACCTCTAGCAGCAACCTCCTCACCATCCTCAAGAAAAAATCGTACTTAAGTAAAATTAACAAAAAACCTATTTATTTTCTATAGGAGACCCACAATTACCTAAACATGTCCTGTATGATGTAATAATTCATTTAACTATAACAAACCGCAATTTATTCAAAATATGACAATAACAATGATAAGAAACTTTCTGATGTAGACTACGTTAGACTACATACTGTATATATTAAATAAAGCCAGTAATTTATTTAGTACTAAAGAAATTATCTCCAGTATACTACCGTAAAAGGGTCTAGTTACAGCTGGTGAACCAGTGACACTTAAACTCAAACTAAACGTTTCTGGGTGGGTTGACAGCGCCCTAGTTTTGCAAGAAGATTAAGGTATGCTGTTGGCTAAAAAGAGTGGAATTTGACAAGAAAATTTCAATTGATCTTGAAAAACTGAAGATAGAAATTGTAAGCAAAGGAAGATTTGAAAAAGAAGGAAGAAGAGAAGTTGAAAAAAATCAGAGTTTAAGATGGAAAGGCAGAAAAAAAAACTGCTCATGATGCTGATAACATTGCTGATGATGATAACAAGTGCCTAAATGCCCCTACAATCACATCTAGGTGTAAATTTTAGATAATCTTCTATAGTATGTATTATTTATGGGCTAACAAACATCACCGGCCCCGTTCACTTTAAACAGAAAAAAATTCAGTGATAATGTTCTACTTTTTACTCGGCGCAAATTTGGTTCCAGTTTTACACCAATATTAACTAGTAAAATTTCTAGATGTTAATAATGTTTTGATTGTGTTGAGGCAATATTTTTTATAGCGAAATGATATATTTGAACTTTGTTTGTTTTGTCTGTTAATCATCCCAAGGTGCTTTGGGACTTGTAATGCTTATTACTTATGCTTTGGTAATTTTAGAATGTTAATAACTGGTCTAAAATCAGATCATCACTAAAAGAATTAAAAAAGAAAATGAATGTTTTTTTCAGTTTTGAAGATATCTGATTCACAATCTAGAGGCATTTGTGGAAATAGGCTGGAAAAAATTGTAATACATATAAAAGTATGGTGGTAAAGAGAAAATTTTCCTTAGATATGATTTTTTATGTAAAACTTTAGTTTATTGCTTTCCAGATGATCTTACTTGACCTATTTTTTTTTAGTTTGTTCATGAGGTTTGACAGAAAGAACAAATATTTCTGAAGATGTAATTCATTCAGATAGTTCTAAACGTCCCATGTGCAAGTTTTAGCTAAACCTCCTTCCAATTTTTTAAATTTTTTTTTGTGTCGCAAATAACATATTTTAGGTAATTTGATCATTACTATTTGATCATTTATCCTGGTCTGCGGATCATGAAGGCAGAACAGAATGATTGGTAATGACCGAATTTAGGTTCATCGCAAAGAGAAATCATCAATTCACAATTATATGTAAAATGGGAGGGTGGTAGATCTTGTACTCAATTTTAAATATTGTATAGATTTTTATATCTGTTAACCGTAATCATTATAAATTGTCCTATCATTATTGGTTTGGGCCATCTTCAGTGAGGAACTCAAGGCATGAGGATAAATACACTTATGATGTTCGGCATTATTTAAGGTCATTTTATTCTACCTTCCGTTTATTACCTTATCCTGCACATTCTTCTATTTGTACAATCAATGTCGGTGTACCCCAACAAAAACATAATGTCAAGTTGACAACATTCATTTTCTTTTTTAATTCTTTTAGTGATGATCTGATTTTAGACCAGTTATAAACATTCTAAAATTACCAAAGCATAAGTAATAAGCATTACAAGTCCCAAAGCACCTTGGGATGATTAACAGACAAAACAAACAAAGTTCAAATATATCATTTCGCTATAAAAAATATTGCCTCAACACAATCAAAACATTATTAACATCTAGAAATTTTACTAGCTAATGTTGGTGTAAAATTGGAACCAAATTTGGGCTGAGTAAAAAGTAGAACATTATCACTGAATTTTTTTCTGTTTAAAGTGAACGGGGCAGGGCATTTAGGCACTTGTTATCATCATCAGAAATGTTAGCATCATGAGCATTTTTTTTCTGCCTTTCCATCTTAAACTCTGATTTTTTCAGCTTCTCTTTGAATTCCTTCTTTTTCAAATCTTCCTTTGCTTACAATTTCTATCTTCAGTTTTTCAAGATCAATTGAAATTTTCTTACATATACTTTTGCCACTCTTTGGAGCCAAAAGCATACCCTAATCTCTTTGCAAAACTAGAAACCTTTAATTTGAGTTTAAGTGTCACTGGTTCACCAGCCGTTACTAGACTCTTTTATCGTATTATACTGGAGATAATTTCTTTAGTAAGTAAATAAATTACTGGCTTTATTTAATATATACAGTATGTAGTCTAACGTAGTATATATCAGAAAGTTTCTTATCATTGTTATTGTCATATTTTGAATAAATTGCGGTTTGTTATAGTTAAATGAATTATTACATCATACAGGAGATGTTTAGGTAATTGTGTCTCCTATAGAAAATAAATAGGTTTTTTGTTAATTTTACTTAAGTATGATCTTTTCTTGAGTGGTGAGGAGGTTGCTCATTGCTGCTAGAGGCTAAGCATTTTTTGTTCAACATCGAACCAAAATTTAGCCCTGTTTAATTTTTGGATGACCTCCTTACCAAACCTGTGATCTAGATTGGGTCTATGCCTGGAAAACAAAATGTCTTCAATCTCTGAAATTATAATTTTTCAACAGATAACATTATTCTATGGATTGTAGCAATTCGTACAAGCGGAGTGCCATCTGCAAACGGTGCCAGGTCCAAAGAGAAGTTCATGTCTAATGTTGTTTATAAGGCTAAGGTAAAAAGGAGCATCTTCATTACCTTATGCACCATCGACAGTATCTTTTGTGCAATCTCCATTATTACCTGGGGCTGTTTGTTAAGCTTAAGGCTTTTTATCAGGTCCTAAACTTTGTCAGAACTTCAGGCTTGGAGTTTTCCTCTCCCTGGAGTAGGAATCTCAGTCTGCAAATATCTTCACACAGATGACATATTCAATATTTTTCTTTGAAATATCTTCAAAGGCTTGTTTCAGGTACTATATATATGCCTCCTCTACAGTCATACGATCATTCTAGTCTTAGATCCTAGGTTTAGTAGTCTGCTGTTAGTTTCAGCGATGGTCCTTTGATGAACTCTTTTGCATGACTCTGTTCATCATTGAACCTTATTCTTAATCCATTCGTTCTTGGCTATTTGGTATGCTGCAAAAGGGTTCAGAGAGGTGTTGGTGGCCACAACGGTTTAGGCATTGACACAGCGCTCATCACTGTAAGGTAAAGGTCCTGGGTTCGAATCTAGCCACCCTGCATTCAAACCCGACATACTTAAAAAGGGCTTTTTTCAAAAAACCCGGTCAGTTTATATGACCTCTGCTGTTGCAAGGAAAAAAAGCCAAATAAAGCCAATTTCTCAGCCTCTTTGTTGCCCTTATGCCGGTATGCCCTGGAGACAGGGCCCTGATGCAATCCCAAACAGCTCTGGACTTCACTACCGATGAAGTGACTTTAATGTCTGAGTAGTTTTTTATTGGTAATACCTAGCCTTTGGATCTTCTTGGCATAGGTCTCAGCCTGAAAGCCAATAGCATTTTGCCCAAGGCTTATATGAATTCTAGTTGATTTAGTTCTTAGAGACATCTGTATACCATAAAAAATCGGCATTAACTCGAATTTTTTTTTTAAATTTCTAAAACTTAATCGGATTATTTCTCAACGATTTGAAAATGTTAATTATCCGGCCCGGGCGTGAGCTGGGACCGGGAGTGGCGTCGTAATGGGCCAAAAGGGTTTTTGTTGTGGTGTCGTCGCCGAGTGGGTCAGTGAGGCCCCCACCAACCCAACAGACAACCGGGTTCCCCACCAGCCAGGAGTCGGTGCTTCAGTAGTGATGTGACCCGTACAGAGGACGGTCCCTCGATCATGGGAAATGGCATGAACAAGGTAATCCCGTGGTTTTTCTTTTTTTTCCTCCATATTTTAACATAGATAATCAACATTTCCTTCTCCTTTATTCTTGTCCTTTTCTTTCTAAACGAGGCTACGTATAAACAAAACTCTGTATTGAAAATATTCCGTCTAGAAGGATAAGTTAAGTGATAAGCCCACATAATAATAACTAAATAATGCAACTAACTACTGAACCTTCGAAGCATAGCATGTATAAATACGTAATAATTTTAATAAAAGTATAGAAAAACAAATAAAATCTATACTCATAATTAGGGCAAAGTAAATACCACTGAATTTTCTTAAAATTTTTGAAGAATGTAAGATGATGCCTGGTGTTACAAGGAGGAATATGGAAAATTAGATGGATAGAAGATTCAGGTGTATAAGGTGTA